TAAAGAAAATATGATTTACAAAACTTAGCATGCCATCATTTCTGAATTGTTTTGATAATCGCACAATACGCGAAAACGGAATAATTAACAAATATCAGGCACTTATCGTCTACATACATATATCCAAAATTTTCCAAATCATATATTCATAAATTCAGATCCAATATCTAAATTATTCTCCAATAAAAAATCCTTTCGAACTCAAAATATTTCCTGATTAATTTTAAATACATATTTCAATTCAACACCTTAACATAATACTTTAAATACAATATTGTAATATTATATACATAAACTCAAATTAAAAGCAATTTTATTGATCAATCGCGTTTGAACAATTGAATTTTCCAGTTATTTACATCAAATAAAATTCTCTATACTTAGTAAAAAATTACGGTAATAATTTTCATTTTATATGTAAAACAATTTTCAAAAATGAAATTATAAGCCTGTATAACAATTTAGCATATAATGTTTTACGACTTGTTTAATCGAATACCTATACACATATACACACATATATTTATTATTATACTAAAGATAATATAAGTATGTCATTTAATCCTTTGATAACTTATCGAATTATCGATCATAATACAAAGTGTAATAAATTCTCTGTTTGTATTTAACCAGATTCAACTGAAAAATTAATTGTGCACAAAGTAATCTTATACATAGTAATAAATCTCTTGTCGGTTAAATGTTAACGATAAGTACAAGCTGTAATTTTGTATTTAAATGTATGTATGTACATATTCAGTTTATTAAGGAATTTTTATTATGTTTTGATTTCATTTGATAAAAAAAAGTATGAATACAGGTTTCCTACCTTAAGTAATAAAAGAAAATACGGTTAAGTAAATCAAATTAAAGCCACTCACAATATTAATTGGGTTTTCTTTGATAAAGAAGACAATTATTTTGAAAGTTTTAATACTGCAAACATTATTAAATGCATATATCAAAAACATTTAATTTTTTTAAGAATTTATTTAAAACACTACAGTAGAGGCCCGGTAAACACAATAAATACGGCCGGATGTCGTTATCTGCAGCCCATTATATACTCTATATAATGATATACTCTAAAGTATATCATTATATACTTTATATTTAATACTTCAATAAGAGAAAGAAAATGAAAAAAAAATTGTATGTTTACTCGGTCAGAAGTTCATAAAATTGGATGTTCACAAAATCAGATTTCTACTGTATCAAGATATTTTCTCTTGCTTCCTAAGGTAAAAAATTAGTATAAGTACATTAGAACTTTAATAATTTTAATTCATTAATCATTGTCATCAATAATATCAAAATATCCCGTCATATTCAACGAGCATTTTAATTCAGAAATTTATATTAGGATACAAAATTTAAAAAAATTTTAAAATAATCATTACAATTATTCAGTATAAATAAATTATAATTAAAGTTTATTTCAACTAAGTATATTTATTAATATTACATTAGTTTGTTAAAAAATATATTAAAAAATAATTTATTTTAAGTAGTTTATTTGTAAGTAACTACAATTAATAATAATTTTAATGTTTAATTTTAATGTCGAATATAAATTTAAATTTCACATTAAGGCAACAAAAAAAAATTATTATTCAATTAATTTCACATGTTTTAATAACAATTTAATTATTCTTATATTAATATGTATGTGGGTCTTTCAGTAAATAATGGCAAAATAAGGAAAATTTCAGTACAAACATTTAAAATTTACCCTACTACCCCATTACCCTATAATACTTATTATTACAACATTATTATTTTATTTAGAACAAAAATAAACCATAAATTTCATTCATAAATCTTTAATGTGCACGATTAGCATTAAATATTTAAAAGAAAACAAAAAAACGGAAAATAATTTCTATTCTATAAAAACACACTACTTTGTACACGAAATAAGTGAGTTGAGTACACACGAAATACAAGTAAGTAGTAAGTACTCAACAAAATTTATAAACAATGTTTTATACAAATATGAATAAACAAGTAAGTAGATTTATGAAAAAGCCAAAAACAAGACAACATAAAAGAGAATTTTTTTTTGTAATGACTTTTTCAAAGTCATATCTAATGAGTCTAATAAATTTTTATATACATACTTAGTAATATTTTTAAATGATAAAATAAAAATTCTTTTAATATTGTTGAAGAAATTGACGTTTTGAGAACCAGTTAAATTAACAGCACCGTACACAACATATAAAGTATTAAAAAACCACATGACGCAATATACGTCACACTGACATGACGCTTTGTTATACGAAATTTTAAAAATAATTTATTATTTTAAAAGAATTCATATTTATATCAGTTTCATTTAAAATGTGTGAGCCACCCACTGAATAAATGGTGCCAATATTTATGTATAAAAATTTATAAAAAAAAAATTTCCAGCTACTTAATATTTTTTTTTTTTGATCTCTCGAATCTCTCAATGAGAACAAACGTATTTGAATGAGGCACCTATGCAATAAATGTTGCTATTGAAAATTATAATTATTTTAGAACTAATTGCATTTTGAGAAAACTAAGTAAGTATACGTACATTATTTGATTTAAATAATCAAATAAATGACATTGTATTCGAATGACATATTATGTAAGTATACAATTCAGAAGAAAACTTCACCTTGTCCGGGAAATTTATGAAAATTATTTATTTACATGAAATAACTAAAAAATAAAACAAAAAAATTCATAAATTTTTAAAAGTTTCAGGGCTATTCAATTACTTAACATCAAGCGAATTACTTATTAATTTTATTGAAATTCCTTACCAATACATTGAATAATTAAAATGTAAGTATAATTTTTCCATACAAACACACATTAAATAAATAGAAGTAATTAATTCAATATTTAAGGGAAAGAAACGGAAAAATTATTTTTCCTTTCAAATTAAACAAACTCTTGGTAACAACCCATAAACTTCACAAATCAAATCCAAAAATAAAATTGCAACCAAAACCAAATATATTTTCTCTAAACTAGGTAATTAAATAAAATCCCAGTTATTATATATACATAAAATATGCGTAACTATTTGTTTTCACATAAAATTTACAATATTAGATAAAATAAATCGTGAATTGTTATACGAAAAAAAAACTAAACTTAAATTATATATTAACAATCTCACATACCTATATACAAAAAACACATGAAATTTCAGTTTATGAGAATAATAAATTTTATGTATTTAAATAAAATTCAAGTTCATATTTTTCGTACTCGTACATTTCCTTTATATACTTTGTAAGTACATATTCAGTGTTATATATAGTAAATCTGTACATAACTTTGAAAGTATTAATAAACATAAAACTAAAATCTGAAAGATAATTCTAATACATGCTTATATTATGTATATGTATGTATTTATGTATGTAGGTACGTGTCTCTACGTAATTATAAACTAGACTATAGTAAAAAAAAAATTAAAACAGAATCATAATAATTTCATCACACAAACCTACGTACCTACATATAAAAAAAATTACTAATAAATGTGTATTATAGATATGTACATATATTATATGTACATACATACATATATATTATAATTTCATATATATACATACATATTTACAGCTATTTTTGTGAATATTTATTTTAAAATTTCTATTATTTTATATAAATTTTGCCTTTGACTTTGAAAAAATGAAAAAAAAAATTGATACCAACAAAAGAAACGAAGCAAAAAACAAAATTTTTTCAATTTATTTATATTGTGAAAAATCTTATGTGTTAGGGAAATATAGAAAGTAAAAAAGAAAATTCTAAACCTTTTCCCGAATTAAAATCTGTAAAAATCTACTGATATTTAAATTTTTAGTACTTAATATTAAAATAACATTTAAAATTCTGGATAGGTTCCTGGTAGTTCATTTTGAAAAGCAGATAGACTCCAATCAGATATTTGAGCAACAGAGACTAACATAACAAAAAAAAAAAATACGGAAATTTCAATTTTTGAAACTCAATATAATTATTATAAATTACTTTCGAAAATTACATATGCCTGCCAACTCACACAATTAAAATGAAAAGCAACAAATAAAATTAAAAGTGAATAAAACATAAAACAAACATACATTGTGTTTTCTTGGAAATTATGCAGTCTCAACACAATCTAAAATAAAATTTTCCAAGTCTTAAATTAAAATATTATTTTTATAATGTTAATGTTGCCATAAATGCTCTATAAATTTGATCTACAGCTCATATAAGTACATCGCTATTATTTGTAAACAATTTCAAGTTCATTTTTACAAGTACATATGTACGAGTATACAAACATGCATAATGTATATGTTTTTTTCATTATAATTTGCTAAAATGTTTAATTATTACGTTTTACTTATATGCACACTATTATTTATTATCGCCTACAATATTTATTCCGGTTTTCTAATAAAATTATATATTAGAATACTGACGTTATTTCTCATTGTATATGTATATAGTGAACTTATATAAACAATTATGTTGCAAAAATTACGTTTTACAAAATATTTTTAGTATATAAAATTTTGAATTTAATTATGTAATCGAAAATAAACTGTAGATATACAAGTTGCAAATTATTTATTTATTCTAAATATGAAATTAATATAAATTTTGTTTACAGAAATGCTCATAAAAATCAGAATACTTATCAAAACTAATCTTTTTCGACATTAAAAATTCTCCATAATTCAATTTATATAAGAAATGGCAATTATGAGGCAATACCTTTTAAATCCTCGTGTCATACGCTTCACACCTATCGTCTTTGTATTTAGTGTAAAAATTTATTCGTATTTCTACACTTCTCATCAAAGGGCAATATTAAATATTACCATTTTTGTTAACTTTTAACATTCATTCTTATTAAATTGCCAAATTTTAAATTTTTGATTTTTTTTAAAATTAAAAAAAAAAAGAACTCACAAAATGAACGTTTAAAGCAACAAAATGAGAAAAAAGTTTTGACTAACCTTATCTTTTTCAACAAAAAAATGTGTATCTGGCATTCTTTTCTTTATTAATTATCAATATTATTAGAAATAAATATTGAAATTTTATTAAGCACTTTATTTGATTTACAAAAATTTTTCTATTTTTATTATGCAATGATCTTATTAATTTTCGTTTTATTTATTTTTTCAATAATTTTCGCAATTTTTTTTTTTTTTTTGTAATTTTTGTATTTTGTAATATTCTATCTTCTTATTACATTTATTATTTATAACGTTAGAAAATGTAAGAATCCTTAAATACTCGGATGAACTTATAATGAGCCCTACGACAAAAAAAAAACGATCCGTACAATTAACTGTATACTATTTACTAACGGTACAAAAACAAATTCAGTCGATTTAACTGTAAAAATCACAAAAATATTTTTTTTTTATTAAAATACACACGCAAACTCACACGAACAAAATATGTGTGAATAAAAATATTATTTATTAAAAATTTTCTCTCTTTTTATAACTTTATTTTTAATTTTTTTCTTAATTTTATTTTTAATTTTTTTCTTAATTTTATTTGTTGAAATTCTTAATTCACTTTTCTATATTATTTAATTTTATATTTTTATTTTTTGTTTTTTAAATTCTATTTGCTGAAATTAAACTGTAAATACGAACGCATATATTATGAATAAATATAAGAGAGAATCCAATAATTGTATTTTCGTTCAACAGATGATTATAACAAAACCGTTATTTCAATTCGATTTTTCGTTGTTTTTGTTGTTGTTTATTTATTTTGACATTTAATTATTTTTATTTTATTTTTTTTAATTTTATCTTCTGTTTTTATTTCCTTAATTAAATAAACTGATGTAAACTGATCCCAAAATAAAATAAATAAATATTTATAATTTTTCATACATAAATGCATGTACATATGTATATATTTATGTGCTTCAAAAATAATTAAATATTCCTATATAAGAAAGTAAAGTATATAATAAATAAGTATATATAATTAAACCGAAAAAAAGAACACAACAAAAATAATATGGAAAAATGACAATATTGTAAACAGTAACCTTTTCATTCCGTTGCTAAACTTATTCTAAAATAAAAATCAGTAGAATCAGAAGAAAATATAAAAAACTTGAATGGAAAAGCTTTAGAACAAAATTATTTGACGGTGATTAGTAATGCAACAAAAAGTGCAACTATATCAATAAATTTTAACACTACTTGTGTATAAAATGAACATTTATATATAAATACAGATAAAGAATATTACGTGTACGTGTACTTATATTTTTACATGTTACTGTTAGCAGTTAAAATTGGTAATTGTCTGAGTTTGCTTATACTCGTATTGTGTACGAAATATCGATTTTTTAATCGAAATCTGACATAAAATTAAACCTGAGGAAAACAATTAAAAACTAATTGATTATCATCAGATTTTCTGTCGGGTTTTTAAAAAACAGAAATGACTTAAGTAAAACTTTTTGTTATTTTGAATTTAACACTGAAAATACATATTTGAAAGATTTGCTGTCAGATGTTTGACATTAATGGTATAATAATGAATCTGATGTGTAATTGCTTATCAGATTACACACTAGATTAAATTGTAGAAAAAGTATTATGTGGCACCTAAAAAATTAGTTATTAAAATCACAAAGTAAATTTTGTCCATGTAGAATTTCCTTGTAAGTTTAAAATGCATTAGAACATTTATTGAATGTCGGGAATTATTTGTGTATATTAAGTTTTTAACATATGTATGTACGTTTTAGCTAGTTCAGATGCATTTTCAAAAATTTGGGTCTTTCTATTCCCAATTCTTGCACAAAATTTCATGAAAGTACAAACTCAAAATTTTGCTGACAGCGTAAAGCTCAATTTTTTAAATTAGTTTAAACTACGAAAATCATGCGGCACAATATTTTAAAGAATATACTTACTTTTTGCAAACTACATTTGCTAAGCATTTAGAACAAAAAAAATTACAATTTGAAGGTTTTCGAACATTCGTAATAACACATTAAAAAGTTATTGGTAATTTCCTTTCAAAAGGAAAACAAAAGTTAAAAAATAAATAAATGAAAATATTTTCAAATTAAAATACAAGCACAGATACATACCTAGATAATAGTATATACATAAATGCTACTCAAATATATTTATACATATAAATTTAAACACATATAGCATATATTATATCACTAACAAAATAAGATGCAAATAAGATGAACAGGTTGGTGTTTAGGAAGAATACAAATTTTTTAAATAATAATAAAAAAGACTGGGTGCAATTTAAATGCATTTATTTTAACAAAGTGCTTGTACTTCACGTCAAACTTTCGTCCTTCATCAATTTCTAATTTTTTCTACATACTTAAATACACATATGTATGTATGTAATTATGTAAATATAAAAATATTTTGAGTACCGCATAAACCGAATAAATTAATAAAATGAATTCTAAAAAAAAATTCTGTTCACAACAGCGAAAGACGGCGATAATACCGTCAACAAAAAAATATTTACATCTACTAACGAGAAATAAAAGAATGAAAATAAGAAAATTTTGATTTAAAAATCGTGAGACTTTTTTTTAAATTGTTATTTTTATTATTATTACAAGAAAAATTATAAATATTATAAATAAAATACGAAAAAGACGTAAGAATAAAAACAGAAAATAAGAGAAAATTTTAATGAGAATGGGAGGAAAAATCAAAAATTAAAAGAAATGTATCAAAAGAATTTTTCATTTCGGAAAACAAAAATATTGAGAGAAAATTAGAAAATCGGAAAAAATTTGTAAAAATGTATGAAAATGTTATTCTGTCTGTAAAAGCAAATTTAAACGCCCTTCACATATGTTTTAATTTATGTTTAACATTATTTTAAATGAGTTCACGATTCCAGTTATATTTCAATATTTCTTGTATCAACCTCAAGAGTCACAGATATACTTTCAGAAATAGATATTTGATATTAACTGAAACGGGCGATATGCTACTTTGAGAGCAGCATACATTTTCAATCTCAAATTCATTTTTAATTCGGTTTTTAGCCCTGATCCTTGACACAGAGATTAATAATTTAAAATGTTTTAATATTTTTCTAAAAAGAAAGTTCATTTTTCTTTCCCTGTCTTATATTGTCTTCGTACTTGTGGTTCTTCATCGCTTCACTTGAAAATCAAAGAAATATTAGTAGTTATTTGCAGCAAGCACAAAATAAATTGTAAATAAAATAAAGCAATACTGGCGCAAAAAGTTCAATCACTACGTTCGCGATAAGAAAAAATTCATTAATTTTAATTTTTTAAAACTTCATTTGACAAACTAAAATAAGTTTTTTTTTTTTTTAGAAAGAAGATTGTAACAGACACGCTTGGATAATAAAAAATATTGTTTGTAGATTGAAAGCGTATTTGCAATTTAATCAAAATTTACCAAAATTTTAATAATGAACATTTTTATTATATATTTTTAAATTCGAATATCAATAACAAAAACCTGATGTGTTCAACACTTAACTGACTTATCCCAAAACTTGATCAGTGTGTAAAACGGCCAAAACAAACTCGAATATAAATTTTCAACAAAGTCGGTTTAATCGAAATTTTGATACGCGAGTGCAAACGCAGACAGAAGGACATTCTGCTAAAAATAATTTATTTATGCTTTCCTACCATGCGAAAGAGTGACGAGTTTCCACCAGAAACTCGTCATGGGAGAATTAGTAACATCACATCATCTCTCACACTGTTTGTAATGCAATCGGTGTGTAAACAAATCGAATATGAAGTGTACGCGCAATTACATGATTGGAAAATATTAATACAAATCGAAAGTTTTTGCAAAGAGTGAATGCGAAGTTTAGTATTCCAAAAATTAACACTAAGATATAACAGTAAAACTGAAAAGCCATTATTACTTATATTAGAATAAAAGTAATTAATTTTAATTTCTGTTCTAAAAATAATACACTTAAACAAATTTGTGCATAATGTACGTACGTACATACATACATATATACAATCAAACATACATAACAAATAACATAATCTAAATATATAATAAAATCATACAAATAAGTATGTATAGCTATTGTTCGAATTATAACCTTCAATTATATTAAATCAATAAATAAAAAGACAAATAAAATACAAGAAAACAAAATGAGTGAAAGAAACGAGATAAAAGTACAAATATTTAAGGGTAAGAAATGATATTATTAACGTCATATTAATTCTATACATTCCTACTTAATTCATTACTGCCTCTTTGTTGTCTTCATACATGTTATAAATAAGAAAGAATATGAACTTGACCTAGTGATTAAATTTTATGCTGGTGTGCATTTCAATGTCAACACTTTTATAACTTGTTTATTAAGTATGCATTTATTTATATAGGCACTGTCACTGTTTAAAGATCCCACTTATCAAGAAATTAATTTATAGAGTGAATAGATAAAAATTGCAATTTATAAAAATTGCATTTTTAAATTAAAATGATTATAAATCAATAATTACATGAATAATACACACGCGCATAACCAATAAGTACATGCAATATAGAAGTTGTTTTAATATAAAAACAGATATCCATGTTTTAATAAAATTTTACATATACCTATTTAATTTAAAAATTTTTACAAAAATTTTAGTACCTTCTTAGGTACAACTTTTTTTCTGTACTTTTATAGAAACGATTAATGGAAAACTTTTAGAAAAATACTAATTTAAACTTATATGTTACTATAATTTATTATTCATATTAAATTTCCTGACTTTTAATACCTTTAATAAAAAGCGATCAAATTTTAAACAGCACAAAACCATGTAAGGCAAACTCAATTACCTTAAACTCTTAAGCTCTTTAAACAAACGTCGTAAGTAAAAATTTCTCCTAAAGAATTCAATTTAAAGGCAAAGAACTTTTATATACTTATACTCATATTATTGCAAACAATCCGAATGCATAATAAAAAAAAATTCTATATTAAAATTTTTCGAAATCCATAAAATACATAACTTCATTTTAAACGGATTGCTTACATATTCCAAAAAGGATATGTAAGTAGGTTCAACACGCCTATGAGTGAATTATAATAATATTTTAGCTATTATAACACTAAAGCATAAGAATTACATGGGTACCAAATCTTAATATTTTACATGTTCGATATATCTAGACTTACATATAAACTTTTTTGACAGGAGTACTTATGTATAAATTTAACTACATTGGTAAATATGTACTTAAATATTTATAAAATGCGACTTGTTATTGATTTTGTGATTCTTTCTGGTCTTAAATTGTTTTATACCGAATATACAATACAGTCGGTATAGCACGTGGTTATAAATCAGGTTTATTCAGACAAAGTTTTCTACAGTTCATAAACAAAAGTAGTTAGATAATTTCTATTTATATATTTCAAAACAAAATAAATGTATATTAAGGAACAATAATTTTACATAATCTTACTTTTAAAAATTTAGTTAATACATTTACAAAAAAAAATTTGTGATGTGACCACTACTAACTTTTAAAATGTAAAAAACTATTTCAGATAATCAGTACCTTCAAACATGAATTCTTGCCAGCAAAAATTGCTAGATTTTATACTTAATCAAAAATCAACAAGGCCAACGATATACCTTATTTTTTCGATCATTTTTTCCCACATCCTTTATTAACTTCGTTCATTCTGTCTTCCTCTGTTTCCATCCATTCAAGTATTTAGATCGTATTTATGTACATTATGCATGTAGGTATAGGTAGGTAAGTACCTACCCATGAATTTGTAGACAAATAAAATAATCAAATTTTTATTTTTAAACTTAAATAAAAAATTTTTGCTGATAAATTCGGTTTCCTTTGAGAGAACTAAAATTTAATTATTTTAAATAGACAATTTAGATATTGTAAGTTTCATTCATTTTGTTAAATTAAAATCTGTTTTTGATTCAATATGTAAATGTCTTCATGGTTTTTACAACTCCCAATACTTAATACATATATACACATTGTTACATAGTATATAATGTGCCTACATAATACTATATAAGCTTCGTCCTGATGTGATTCATGAATGCAGAGAGAAACAAATTAATATTATGTTAATTGAACAATAATGATGAAAATTATAGGACAGGTACACAGATAGGTACACATTATGTACATATGTATGTAGCATGTAAGTATATGCAAACATGTTACAACTCAATGGTAATTGTATTTTTCAATATAATCAATTTAATACTAATTACTATATGTACATACATATATGTATATATATATATATATCTATATACAAGTTTAAACATACCTCCTGACAATAAACTGATGCAAAACCCCAATTTGACATAGAAAAATCTTTATTCATTCTATTCTAAAAAATTTTCTTTTTTTTTGCTGTTGCACTTAACAATATTGTATCTATCTAGGCCTAGGTAATAATTAATAAAAATCTTGTACTTTTTTTTTGAATATTTAAAAAATAAATTTATTAATCCTATTCACTTTATGATTTATTAATACTTTAGAATTTTGAGATCTTTTTTTTTTTTGTGATTTTTTTTAAATATAATGTTTCGTTTATAATATAATTTTTTATAAGGTACTTAAAATTTCAAATGCAATTTCTCTTCTCTTTACATCAATCACTGGAATTGGAAAATTTTTAACGAGAAAAATTTTCTTTATTTTGACATTTCCATAATTCATATTTCAAGTGACAATTTCATATTTCAAAAAGAGTTGAAGCAAAAAGGAATTCTTTCAGAAATAATCGATTCTTTGTTTTTATATAATTAGTAGCAAAGCAACGAGATTTCTTTTTTAAAATCTTAACAAGAAGGAAAAGTCAAAAATAAAAAACATAGGAGAATCCACTTATTTGTGTTTTTGAACGCGGTTTGTTAGATTTAATTAAATTTTCTGAAATAAAAATTGGAAAAGCCGAGAGTTATGATAACTTGCGCAAACCTAAATTTATATAAAATTTTACTAAAAATATATGTCAAATGTCAAACTCTATACTCTAAAGAAATTTACTGCTTGTTAGCTATGAAATCAAATTATGCTTCTCAATCAGCATACCGGAGTTCCTTCTTGTAATTTTCGTTTCACAAAAATAACCCTATATAAATATTCAACACGCATTCATTTCATTAGTTTATTTTTCTTCCATTATTAAGTAAAAAATCGTTTTAAACTTTAGGGAAAAAACTATGTACATACCTACATCAAAATACGTATTTTGACATAATTGGAAACTAGATTGATAGACGGCGGTCGCGCTTAAGTTTGTCTTAATATGACAAAAAAATAAAAAAAAATTTTATTTAATTCTTGTAAAAATGCATAAATGCATTTTATATAAAAATGTATTTTTCAATGAAATATACGTCAATGTTTTAAAGTTTATTAAAAAAATACTGTTCTTTTTTTATTATGTACATATGTATGTATATAGGTACATACCTAACTCAGAGCATACCTGCGTCATACGATTACAATGCATCCAATATTGTTTTAAAATTATCTTTAATATTGTTTCCCAATAATATTTCAAACTTCCATATAATTTATTTTAAAATTAATCGAATTTTATTATACAAACCTAAACAATTTGTCTTAAAATAGAAAAACAAAACACTAAATACAACAGCATTGCCATGACCTAAAATAATATGTTCTAAATATATTAAATTACATAAGCAAAAATATTTGGTTATAAACATACCTAAGCCCTCGATGTCGTATACTAATATGTACTTCATTTCGACTTACGACATGATGTAAATTTGAACCATTTTTATTAGGCTACAACAATGTTCCTGTTACGACATTAAAGATCAAAAATTTTTGTTTACAGATTTTAAATGTTTTTTTAATTCTATACCGAATTTAGTTATAACACAAGACTAAAGCACATTTTAATAATGAACTATTTCTAGTTAAAAATGCTTTTTCAATAGTTAAACTTACGAATTGAAGTGATATATTTAATCACATGTATATTTTCGTGTATTCAGTGATATATTTAATATTATAACTTAATCAAATTTTGTTTTATTAATTTTTTTTATTTGACCCATTTGCAAAACTACACGCTTAAAGATAAAAAGATGAAATTTCATATATACCCCAGATCTTTATTATTAACTTATTTTCGTTGAGAAAAATTTCTCCTATCTCCTTCCACCTAAAAATTATAGGCCCTCTATTATAAAATAAAAATGCCATTTTTCAACTATTTACTGTAGCGAAACCATCAGTTTTTTTTGAAATAGTACAAACCTTTGAATTTTAAAAAAATAAAATGGTCGTTAAAATTTACCGTTATCTAAAGTCCATTTTTTTTTAATTTTTGACATCGTAGGAGTCGAAAATGCAGGATTTAACTGCTTTCAAATACTAATATATAGTTTATCTTGTTAGAAAACGTTTTTTCCACCTCCATACTTCGCTTGTATATTGAAATAGCCGTTAACATAATGCTCGAATTCAATGATTAATTGCGTGAGTTAAGAATAAAATTATATTTTTTATGGCAAGGAATTTATTGTTAGCTTTAAATTGAAATTTGGAAAAATTTGCAGTTTCGGAAATAGAAATTTCCTACATATATTTATACTTTTATGAAAAAATTTATACATATATAACTAATTCATAGTAATATAGTGTGTTGTATGTAGGTATGTAAATATATTAATTTTAAAATTTTGTGTTCACATTAGTAAGGCAAATACACAAAAGAAAACAATAAATACAAATTTATTGAAAAAAATAAACACAATTAACACTAATTTCATTATTTATGAAGACTGCTGTTTTCCCAAAATTACCATGTGGAATTTAAAATATTCACCAAAAAATTATTTAAGCATTAAAGCCTTCAAAAGCAAATATTTAACAGCAATTTCAGCACGATAATAATGTTGGTTAACTAATTTACATGCAGTTTCTTCTTCATCTTCAGTGCATAGTGGCTTAAGGTTTCTGTTTTTTACAGATTAAAAGTGTTCATCGCAAAACAAAAAAAGCGCGTTAATCTTTAACGACATTGTATATATAAGTAGATAAATTTGAAATATGTAATAATTTTTCTTTAATTTTCTTTGAAAATCACTGATTGCTTAATTGTTGTAAAAGTTATCATCTTAGATCCACAACTTCGATCCGGCATTTATCATCTAGTAACACATGTTGCGCTTCCTACAATTGAAAAACTAAATCAAGATTGCTAAACAATTACTGTAAAAGATCTTGCCATAAATAAAGCTGGGTCGTTTGGATGTGGATGAAATCCACTTTGTCGACAATTTCCAATGTAATCCAATCCATAATTTGGGGTTAGCATAAAAAATCCGGATCTAAAAATATTTGAAAGTTAATTTTGTTTATGAAATATAGTTGGTATGAACTTAAAAATATATTATCTTACGATTGATATTTTGGTGCACAAACTATAGCTATTGCCTCTGGCATCATCATTTGGTACGAACAATGCGTGTGTAAATCTACCGAAGACAAAAAGGCAGTTTGACTTGGATGCGTCTGAAAAATTTTTTACATTATAATCAAAAATGTAAATGTCTTTTTTTAAAATATTTAAATGTTACATGGATCCATCCTAAAGTAATTAGATTTTTCTGATCTTGAATATCAAAAATCTCTTCTTCATTTGTTGTTGTACAACTATCTGAAGTCCCAGATTGCTTTGGTATTATTATATGTGTTATTAGTAAACGATGATAAGCTAGTTTTCCTGCTAAAATTCCACAGGTTTCAATATTGTTCAATGTATTCTTCCTTGCCAATTCTAGAAAAACCGACATAGTATTGTTTGGAACAACAACCGTTCTCAAAGACCCTTCGATTAAAGATTCCGATCGATGTGGTTTAGTACTTCTATCAAACGTTGGCCTAATAAGTATATAATAATATTAAATGTTAAATTAAAAATTCTTTTGCTAAAACCTTTGCGGTGAAGGTTTTTTTTCAGGCACTGAATCGGGAAGTAGTAAGCCTTCTGATCTCCTATTTGGCCCACTGGGAAAATCATTTGGATAAACAACTTGGTCTAAGAGACTTAAATCTGGAGCACTAGGTTGAACATTAGGATCGCTTTCTATTCTTAAATTATCCAAATTTACTACCTAGAATTCTAAATATCAATTACCGAATATTATTGAAAAAATCTTTTACATTATTTTTCATATTATCTCTTTTGGCAGCCTCCTCTCTTTCTTTTTGCTTGGCCTCGTCTTTTTTATCGGCTAAATATTGTGTATATTCTTTCTCGTAACGATTCAATAATTTAACTTTGAGCTCTTCAGTGACAGGCATAACTTCTTTTAATTTTGTTTTAATTGGTTGTTTAACCGTGCTAGATAATGTTTTATATTCAGGGTGGGATTTGATTTTTTCTAAAAACAGCGTCATAAACTTGATATACAAAATATACGCATTTTCATGATTCCCCTCTTGCAAATAAACATGAGCCATTCTAACCATTTCTGTTCCAGATCGATAATATCTAAAATTATTAAATTGCATGTGTTTTGTAAAATCGATGTTAATAGTTTATAAAACAAAAGTTTGAAATATAAATTACGGATGATTTATTAATTGATTTTGGCTTTCATTTTTTTTTGTGTTACCTCTTAATAGGAATGTTCGGATCAATACCAACAATTCCATAATTAGATAATGCCCGGATGCGTTGATGCGGTTCCATGTTTTTGGATGACGTTGCAGATAAGTTAATTAAGGATGACATTTTCAAATATTCCTAATTTTTCTCGTACAACCTTTTATATTTTATTAATTAAGTCCACCCATAATGCATCATACTGACTTATAAACACTAGTTGTTTTGATTCAATTCTACTTAATTGTTTTTTCTAAATGACATTTCTAACAATTTTTAAATGTTGACAAATAATATGTCACAATTCACAAAACACTTGGTAAACTTACGCCAACAACTTTAATATAAAATTTGCGTTACGTTCGATTTTTTAAATATGATAAAATTATAATACATACATGTGTGTAGGTACTTTTACAAATTCCGAGAATTTGTATTAATTGTTGATTAACGTTGTAAAATACTCTTAAGCACCTAAACTTGCATAATTTAAATACATTTAATATATCCTTTAATATATGAAATATATTTATTTATTTTGACGTTATGTTTTTAGAATTTTTGCCATTATTTTTTAAAGAAAATCATATGTAATATAACTAGATAAAATGAATAGGTAATATAACTAGGTATAATAAATCATAGGTAGTATGACTAGTTATAAAATTAATAAAATTAATAAATAAAATTAGTAAATGGTTAATCATTTTTTATTTTGTAACTTAAATTTCGCACTAGGTGGCTCACGTAATAAACTATTTTTGATTTAATTTGACAATGAGTCCCGTGACGATCTTGAATTTTTAAATTTTTAAGATTAGAACACACATTTCCCCCTATTAGGGTTCTTGAAGAGATTTAACTTTTAGTTTTGCAACTATGTGATTATGTTTATGTAGACAATTTTCACAATATTTCATTAGTTAATATCGTACAATACACATGCAACAGTTGCACCGAATCAATTAGTCAAATAGTTTGAAATTTCTTACAAACTGATTGCAGTTTATTTAACGCAGCTTAGTTTAATTTATATTTAACTTTATACATATGTATATATTTGCAGAATAAATTTTCAATCGAAACAGTAAATTTAAAATTAGCACTTATTTCATTGCTCTAAAAGTCTAAAGTTTTTTTTTAGAATTATATTTAACTTACCTGTGAGTTTTGAATGTTGCTTGAATGTATGTACACATTTGATAATTCAAGCAACATTATTGGTTCACCAAATTCTGCTCGCTAAATTGATTTAAAAACCTAGCGTCAGTGAGACTTGAAATACGGGATTTTAATTAGGAAATTTGGACGTCTTCTTTTTTAAGTTTTCATGGTTTTTGGGGATAAAGTACAGGTAGGTGTAAATTTTTTACCGTTTATCATACAAATCTAGTTTTCCCACTAATTAAATTTTTGCACCTATGTAATTTCTTTTTAATTTATAGCTAGAATAAAAAATACGAAGAAAATGAAATTTTTCGACAACAATCCATCGCTTTTTTGCGAGGAAGTTGGTACTGCCACAATGTTATTTGAAAAATGGAATGATTGTGAAAGAACTGTAGTAATATACGCATTTTTAAAACGCCTTCGATATCCTAATTTAAAATTTCTACAGTATTCAATAGAGAGTGTATTAGCTCATATTACGACAGTAGAACTGCAAGCATTCGAATTCAATTCAAATAGTTCTGAATATTTACAGCAGTTGATTTTTGCATATAATGATAATGATGAAGCAAATAGTTACGAATCAAATAATGCAATAGGTCTACAAAATGAAAAAAGATTTACGAGTTTACATAATAAAAAAGAAAGTATATTAAAAGAAATTTTAGAAATGCTCCCATTATTAAGGCCTGGAAATAATGAAACAAAATCAATGTATTTGTCATTGATACCTCTGGCAGTTAAAGATACAGTAAAACAAACTGTATCAGCGGAATTAACACAACAAATTATATCTTATTTGCTAATCCACCCCGCCATTTTTAATGATGACCGAAAGTCTTTGAATCATTGGCTTAGATATTTAGAAGAACACATTCAATCAACAATTAGTTATAGTAGTAATAAAAATGATAAACACAAAATCAGTTATTTTAGTTCTAGTAATAAATTCGAGACACAAAAACAAAATATGTCGTCACTAAATAAGCCAAATCCAACTAGTGGTACGCCAATTCTAAAAAATGACAATTCGTTTCCAGATAATACGCATAATCAACACATTCAGCACCACAATATTTGGCAAGCAATTGCACCGCCAACACAAAATTTTTTAAAATTAAACGGTCAAGATTTAACTGACAGTGGTAAGAAATTAAATTCGGTACCAGATATATCCGAAAGTTTAAGTGAAGATCTAAGTCAAATTCAACTGCAATCAGATGCGTCTACTAAACATAGTTCAGATTCTTTAAAATTAATTTATGATTCACAAAGTGTTAGTAGTGAAACGAGTCAGTCAGAAACTTTAGTTGATGCTGATATGACTGGTAGTTCAATAACAAATGGTAGTAATGACCGTCATATATCGTTTTCAAAAAATGGTAGAGAAATTTTAGACTATGAGAGCAGTAACATGTGTGATAAGTGCAATACCAAAATTGTTGGATATAATTCAGCTATGCTTTGTTGCTACAACCAACAAAAACAACAGCATGAAAAGCAAAACAAAGCTTTGAAAATTATTACAGCACCCAGATGGAGTTTAGATAGTAAAATGACATCTGTTAAAACAAGAAGATCGAACAGCTTAACGACATCCACAATATTATCTACTTCATCCTCAACAGCAACTGTTAATTATTCAAATTCTTCAGAAAATTTACCACAGTTTCTTGCCAAACCTAGAAGTTTTTCATTAACAATAGACCAACCCAAAAATGCTCTTGTACAAAGTGGATCTGATACTCGATTAGACGATTTGAAACCAGGGTATATGCAATTTCAAACACATTTTATTGGGATGTCAAACATTGGACAATGGCTAAAAAGTCTAAGATTGCACAAATATGTCGGCATATTTGCTAATATGACATATGACAATATGTTAGAGATATCCGAGGATTATTTACAAAGTTTAGGTGGGTATTTATATAACTAATTTAAAAGCAAAATAAAAGTTGTATAAAAATATTTTTTCAGGAGTAACAAAAGGGGCCAGTCACAAATTATCAAAATGTATAGAAAAATTGAAAGATCGCTTTACCACAATGACGAAACTGGAGCAAGATTTACGTACAGGGAAAATAACAATTAAATCTACTGTAGAAGAACTGACTAATATTGTGTTAACGCCAATGAAACCAGTTGACAATACTCCAGATAATGTTGCAGCTAAGTTTATTCAATTGTTGGATTTAGTTGTCATGTTGGTGACTCGATCTGAACTAAATTTGATTCAAGATGAAGAATCTATTAATTCATTACTATGGATTTTAGAACGGTCTATACATAATGAAGCTTTTTTAGCTTACTCAAATCAATTAAAAGAGCATAAGTTTAAGCTGTCTAAAATTCGTCTATCATTTGTGCCAAAAATTCACCCTAATAAAACAAGTAACAGTAGTGGTTTCAATAAACCAAGGTGGAATGGTAAAAATCGTAAAAGTAATAATAATAATAGCAATGGAAACGTTAGTAGTAGTACTGGTATTCTCAGTACTACTGGTATTACAATGAATGGAAATGGTGGCGAAAATTGTTTAAAGTCTGATAACAAACTCAATGGAAGTGGTAGCAAAAACATATATGAATCGGCAAATAATTACTCAAATTCATCGTAAATTCTAATAATTTATATATATTGAAATTTATATAGAATTTTATGTAGTCATATAACCTTAGTGATCGTATCGAATGTTATGTTAAACAGCAAAAATAACTAAGTAGTTAGGAATGGTGATTACAGTTTAAGAAAAAATAAACTAAAGTTGACAATGAAACTTTTTAAAATTCTGAGATAATAATTGTAAGGAAACTTCAATGGTTTACTGAATGCTGAATTTTAAATTAGAAAAAAAAAATCCCGTTATATATTTTTGTTCTTTGGATATAGTTTTAAGTATTTAGTACTGTAAGTATTCAAATATACATATAGAATATGTATTATTTAAGAAGGGAGTTCTTTCATATTTAAATTCCAGTTAATTATCTTCATATACAATTTAAATTTGTACCTTATTGAATTTAAAAATTCAACTCTCTTTCTTTTAACTAATATATACATATACAATTTTTTTTAACAAATTCCTATTTAAACTATTTTAATTTTTTTAGGATTTTTTGGTTTTATAAAAAAATTGCATAGTTTGCATCGTATAAACCTAACTATAATTGTAAAATTGATGACGCTCTGTTAAAAATTTATTAGCAATTAATAATATAAATTGCTATATACTGTAGAAAATTTTCTTAAAATCAGGAAGAAAGATAGTCAAATAATATTACAACATTACAATTTTAATTAGCAGTAGTATTGTTAAGTAAAATGTTTTAATTAAAAAAGCAAATGTGTTATTAAAAATTTAAAATTCTCATAAAAAAAGAAACATTTATTTTAACTTAAATAATTTTATACTGTAGGGTTTATTTGATTTCAGTTATTTTTTAACTAAGATATTTTTTAATTACATTTTAACAAATTTTACATTTTATTGTAAAAAGATATTAAACTTGTTAAAATTTAACTAGAATCATAATAAATTATTGCACTTGGCGAGCAAGTAAAATTTGACTAATAAATTTGAAATTTATTTTAAATTAAAGTTTATTTAAAAATTAATTTGTATGAATCTATTTAACCGCTAAGAATTTTTCTTAAAATAATTATATTGTACATTGAGACTGACTCATTATTTTCCGAAAAAAATGTTTGTATTGTTTATTTTTTAATAATTATTTCTTTGTTGTAAATTTTTTATTGTAATTCGGAAAATAATTGCTGAAATTATTTATAAAATTATAAATATATACATATATTCATATATTAGAAAAAATTTTTTTATCTTTAATATTCCTAAGTAGGGTATGCGTATTTCAAAGACACATTTTTTAACTCCTCCTTTTACAAAATATGAACTGAAATTTGATATGACATGAAATCGGTTAAATAAGTGAAAATGAAACTACAAATCGTTAAACTGCATGTATATAATAACTATATTTATTATAATTTACATCACTTTTTATGAAATATTCTTCGGTTAAATAATAACAACTAAATTTTTCTAAATAGTATTCAATTTTTAAATATTAACGTGTACCTATCGTGCGTTAAATATTTATTATTTCTATAGTTTAATAATCATCTTAAAAATTAATTTTTTAGTGCATGTATGTATGTATTTTAGTTCACGTTCACACCATCAACGCTTTCATTCTAAAATTTATAGTAAGATATAGATTCTGTTCATATCTTGTGATTGGTGCTTTGCTTTTTTTAATTTCTTTGTTCTTTGGAAGATTAATTAATTTTTGTACAGTGTAAACTCAAAGAACCTTAATCATATTCTAATTGGTGTCATAAAATCCATAATGTGCGAAAATAAGAAGAAAACGTAAATCAAACGTGTAAAAAAATCACTTTAAAAACTCAAAATTAAATTAAATATACAACTTAAATTTTTTTTAACTTTTGTAATTAAAATTAAAAATTTTTCTTTTTATATCACCAATTATAATTTATGATTCGGGTAAGGAGTAAATATAAGTTTTATAGTACTGCAATATTTTCAATATGTAAATTTAGAATTTCGTTCATACCACTTGTGGATAAAAAAATTTTGTACTTTTAAATGTTTTTATGTTTTATTAAAATCATATAAAATAATGTAAAATATTTTAAAATTGCTAATATTTATCAATACAGTTTAAAATCAATTTTGAAAGAAAAATATAATTTAAAAAATAAAGTAAAAATGTGAACAAAAATACAAAATTCTGTAAATTTATTATTTAGCATGGTTTGTGATTCGCTTTATTTGCATACATGAATTGAAAAAGAGGCAAATTTCACTTGCTTATAGTATTTTTGTCTTCGCAAGAAAAATCTGCTTAACTTTAGTTTGTTACCGTACTAAGTATGGCAAACTATTAAAAATTCTATTTAATTTTTTGATTTATAAATAAATTTTATATTTATTATGCAACTTTCATTTATTTAAATTAAATTACAAAGATCGCGTTTATGCGATCCCTTATACATATATGTAACAAAATAGAAAATGCGACTTCTTTTCTTATCTTACATTTTATTTAAACAAATTTAAAGCTTTTCTTTTGGATGAATTTAAATTCCCACATTCTCAATTTGCAACATTTTAATATATTACAAAAACTTTAAATAATATTGAATGCAACTTGATGTCATTATTCTGGAGTAATATACTAAGAATTTAAAATTTATTTTGCTATGGCTACTTTATTTCAAAAAATATTGAAAAACAAAAAGTAAAAGTTAAACTACTTAATTTTATATAGATAATCTAAAATTTATACAAATGACTAGTTCATGACAAAGAATAGAAAAACAAAAAAAGACATTACATTTTGGATACAATGCCAAGTGAAATTTATTCAGAATTCACTTTGAACGCTCTACTTGTACCTTCATATGGAAAAACACCGCCCAATATATACTTATAATTACCAAAATGTCTAATTCTATATACCCCAGGAGTTGTATCAGGACCAATTGTCCAAGTAATATGAATATCGCTAAAACCAAGAATGGTAGATTTACGTTCCCAATACATTCTAAAATTAATTTTTTTAGTGAATGCATTTATAAAAGCTTTGTAATTTTAAATACCTTGTCTCCCAATTTGCATCCGTGAAAGTTACTTTCCAACGTTCTTCATTTATCTGTCGTTCTACAGTGAAGTAAGTTTTTTCATGAAAAATATTATTTCGTGGGTTGCCTGCAATAAAAGAAACCTTAACGGTTTCGCCAAGTTTATATTCCTTTTTAGGTTGAACTTTGACCGAGCCAAAATCCTCGCCAATGGGATGACCGTCGAAAACAACTCCAGTGTTTAATGATAGCATGCGATCATTTAAATATGGTGGAATCGGACCTTGTTCAACTTTCGTTTTATCTAGCATAGCTTTCAGTAATTTTTGATATTGATGAATGTAAATAGAGAGGGTATGTGGTCCAAAAATGGTTGAGGCAGCTTCATAGCGTTGCTGTTGATATTCTTCATAAGTTGTAATATAACTGGAATATACATTTGCTAAGCCAGCAATAATTATTTCCAAATTATTTGGATTATCTTGTGTATTTTGTCTTGACGAGTTCATTAAAATTTCAAAAGCAGTTTCATTTATTTTCCTTTTTAATCGTCTGCCAGACATTGTCGTAAATTCTCCTGGAACTCCAGTTATTATTAGATCACCAATTTTCAAAAGTTGAGTTGCAACAATTTTAGGTTGCCACTCGTACGGAAATGTTGCCTGAAAATTTTTAATTTTAATGCATATTTTAAAAAATATTTTAAAACTTTTTTATACTCTTCCAGTTGCTAATAAAATTGGTTTTGGAGAATGACAACTGATATCCTCTTGAGTTGGAGAAACTATAAAGTCTCGTACGGCATTCCACAATGGATTATCAGTTATTGTACCCTGTTGAAAGGCAAATGAACCAGGCCCATCTGTTGTACCAGCGGCGAAACTATATCCCATTGCTGGGATACATCCCTTTATTAATTGAGTTTTGTTTGTGTTTGGATTAATTGTAGTAAAATTGTAACTTGGCATATCAACAAATTGATGAATGTATGAAATTTCACCAGTTATTTCACGTCCTTCATTTTCTTTTAGTAGCGTCTTTAAAATTTTTGTTGAAATATACATATTAGTTACAATAGTTGAAAATTATATTACTTATTTTAATTGCATATGTACATATGAGGTAGGAACCATACTTGCATGTACTTATGTATGTACATATATAATATTTACCTAATTTAGTAATTCTAATTATATTTTTGACTTACCGAGGCTTTTTCATAAATTCTAGTCGCAATCATTTTTGTACTCTCAAACATATCAATGCCAGGGCCAGAAGAAAAGCATTCTCCCTCACCTTTTGGACATGCTGATGTATGAACGTCACAAGCATTGCCAGTTTTTGCGCATTTTGGTCCTAATATATTTGGTGAAACATCTCCAAGATTTGAATTGGCAAATGCTCCAACAAATTTTCCCTGAAATAAATTTTTAAAAATTCGTAACTTGTATTATCCATAATGTAACAAAGTTTCATATTAATAAAAATATAAATAGCCCTGTTATAACTAAATTTGTTTTTATTCAAGCCATACGCTTTGTTTTAGGACTCTTTAATAGATATTTTATATATACTTATGTATACATATGATTATGTAACATTTACATATGTAAGTGTATAGAAATTCTTGGATGGTTTTTTTTTTTTGTTCAGAGCCCTATTAACCAAAACAACGGCTTTTAATTTTAAAATGGTTGTAAAAAGTCTTAAAGTTTGAAAACTTACAAAGGGTCATGAGTACCAACTGCGTGGTTTTGTAATTTCATCATTACAAATAGGCAATGTTGAGTTGGGGATTTCAGCCCGACAATACTAAAAATGATTTAACGTTTTGTGTCCAAATTGGAAAGCGGTTTTTGAGGGAATTAATATAAAGATACATTAAAAAAATGTTTAAGAGTTATAAAACTTGTAGATTCATTTTATAACTTGATAAAACTATCGTGCATTAAATACTGAATAATTGTGTTAGTTTTAGGTAAGTATGTACAAAGTGTAAAACTATAAAATACTACAAAAATAAATTTTTAATTGTCAGTAGTCAAGAATAAGTTAGAGTTCAAAAGACTTTGCTTTGAGGAAATTCACTTAAATCTACTTAGAATGTACACGAATTTTTATTTTATATTAGTTTTACTTTAATTTAATAGTTAAATTTTTTACAGGAACTTCGTATTCTATTTAATATGTAAATTAGCTACTGTTTGTTAGGGATTAATATAATTTTTTACAATTTGACTATTTCAAAAAAAAATCTACAAAATTTATTTTTTCACATTTAGATAATTAAAAGTTTTCCTTATGAATTAATTTCCCTTTTCGGCTGAATTTTTCTACACATAGAGTCGAAAATATTAAATATCTCTTATTTACTTATCAGAAATGGCTATGCAAGCTTATTTATGTATATACATGTATGTATGCACATGGATGCAAAATTAATTCATAAGGAATTCAAATTATTCAAAAGGAATTTATTTGTTAAAACAAAAGTTTTATATTTTTTCTTACTTTTCCTGATAATTTTGTAGGATTGTATTCTTTTTCTAGGAGCATTGAAGCATAGCCCATATTGTCTGATGTTACCAAATGATTTGTGTTATTCATTGAAACAGGATGAACTGCAAACCAATTAAAGACTCCAATCAATTGATCATCCGTGTTAATAAATCTTAATTGAGTTAAAGTTTTATCAACATCATGTTCATACATTTCACGTTCTTCAGGTGGATTTACTAGATAAGATGTAGGCGAACGATTAATATTAGCATTTAATACTGTTGTTTTAGATAAGAAAATTCTGCCTTCATGCATATTTTCGTGGGCACGTTTAACACTCTATTTATTAAGTAAACACAAAGTCAAATTAAAGATTTAGATAGTTTTTCAAACATGTGTTTTATATTACTTATACAATACGTATTTAAGTTATTTCCGAAAATAAAAAAAAACTTACTAAATAAATTCCTTGAGCTAGAGCATCAAAAGTTTGTGGCACAAAACCCAAAATTGAAATATCATATAATAAATGCATTAGAAATCCTCCAGGTGCTCCATGTGTATGTGTTGCTGTTACCATGATATTATCTAATGTATAAATTTCTCCGTATCTTGCTTGTAATTTTTTAACAGCTTCACGTTTTAATGCATGCCCCACCATACCGACATCGACACTTACAAATGCAACTCTTTGATTATCTTTTTCAACAACAAACGCACGAGAATATTGCCTTAAATGAAGACCTTGTCCTTTTTGCTTTAAATTTGCATAACCCATCTAAAAAAAACACGAAACTTATTAGATCTCAGTACAATCTTGAATTTATGTTAAATACAAAGGCGATTTCAACAGGTGGTCCAGTACAATCAGCACGGCCAACACCAATTCTATATGGTGCAATATTTTGCGGGGCAACTATTACACTTAATCCGAAAATAGCTATCACTAAGCACAGTCTTATGTAAATCATATTGATTTATGTAAATATTTTTCTTTATTCTATATAAAATACTTGAAAGATTTTTTTATTGCTTTAAAAAACCACTTTTGTTTGAATTTTGCTGTGAATTTTGAAATATGGTTTTATGTTTTTTTATAGGCTAATATCGGTAAATGAAGTTTCAGTATTAATAAATATTATACGAGTAGTAAATCGCAGATTTTATATGGCAAGATTTCAATTTGTTCTCGACTTCCCTGAATTTACTTGTGCTTTCTTCTGGATATTTGTTTAATTGTAATCGGCTTTGTACGATCCCAATTTTGTACTGATTTAAAATACTGAAATAAATTAAAATGATTAAATTAGAATGAAAAAAATATATTTTAAATTTTATTAAAAAACAAATTAATATACTTAGGTATGTGCATGGTTTTTGAACGATTTTGAGGAAAAATATCGTGCACAAAATATTTAGGTATTGTTCTCGCACATAGGAAAATGTTTGAGTTTCATTATTCATAGTAAATGTTGTTTATCGTGTTTTTCCAATTTTTTATTTGTACTATATGAGTACATAGGTGGGTCGATTTATTAATTAAATAATTAAATGACATGAATGCATTTTATACTTAAGTTTATAATTGAAGGTCTACATAAAATTTTTTAATTCAAAATAAAATTTTTCTTTTTTATTGTAGTTCCTAATTACTATTTGCAATAGTTTCTAATAAATTTCCTCAATTCAGTAAGTCTAGTCTGTTTACAAAATTATATTTATCTGTATGCATTTATATGTACACATAAATGAACCAATGGCTTGATATACATACATACATACATATTTTAAATTTATTTTTTGTTTGTTGGAAAATATGTAGAAATATAAACTAAGATTATGGATATTTGTGTCGACCCCGAATCGTTTTAGAGAATGGAAGTTAAAGAAAGTAAATTACACATACTAACTGGTCTGTTGGTAATGCAACAACAATATTATAAGAATTTTACAAATTTTGAAATTTGTATAGAAAACATTAAAATTATATAAAAGGTCCTATAGACAGTTCCGCTATTAATGCCAAATAATGTTCCTGTTAAACATGCGTATGTAGACATATTATTTCTTTTATATAATATGAAACTCGTATGATATATGTAGTATATCATGAAATATGATTTTTAACTTGATTTTTAAGTTTATCGACAATGTATTAAACATAATTGTACACCCTTATAGATTAAAGATTTTTGAATACATGTCTTATGATAACGGTAATCTAAAATCTCCTTTATTCCTTAACTAACAATATCCTCTTAGGTAATTAATGAGCTCATATTTTGAAATAATCGTCCATTTTTTAGGACATTTGATCACAATTCTCTTTGCTCTATTTTGCAATATTTGCGGTCTATCATGTTCAGTGTTAATGATTAACAATATGCACAATAGTCAAAATGTGGGAATATAACTGTATTATATATATATATATATATTTATTCCACATTCCTTAGTTAAACTTCTTTGATGTTTTTTTAGCAATATAGTCACAATGGTTATTAAAGTTTGGCTTATTTACACTTAACGTATTTTGTTCTTTTCTTAATGTTTGTATTTTTTTCTTTTAAGTTATATACAAAAACTTCTTCAATTCTCGTCAAAGTTAACTGTCACTGATCAACAGTAGACGTAAAAGAGTTGTAAATTTATTGTGATTTATGAGATCTTGTTTGAAATTCTATATTTCTATGAACATACAGATAGCGTGACCTTATTATTGAATGTTACAATTAAAATTTGAAAAAATTACTACTAAAAAATTATTATTGCTACTTTTTCTAACGAACAAATTCATTTATTTATTTATATAAAATTACTAAATTCGTACATCTTTGATAACAATTGACATAATTTATAATTGATATAATTATAGGTAGGTACCTATATTTTTTTATTTAATCGGAAATGGTTTCGCTTTGTTAAATTATGACACGCCATCGTCTGTAATCTCTATGTGATGCATATAATTACTGTCCGAATATAATTACACAAACATATGAAATTTTATTTAATTTACAAGAAATTTGGAAATGCAAACGTTTTCAGAAAAAGGTCGAAACAAATCTTGAAGTTAAAAATTTCTTTTTTTACACTTTCATTTTTATTACCGACCGCATTGCGTACAATGAGGAAAGTGATGTTATGGTAGCAAATTTGGCATGTCGAGTTTTGAGAGATAATGCATTTCTCCGTAGTAGGGAAGTGTCAATAAACTATATTCTTAGAGCAAAGTTTGTCGGCCTATCTGTCTTCCAGTGCGTCGGTGTAGACCAGCATCTCAATTTTCGATTTTCATAAAAATTTATATCTGAGTTTACTTTTTCGGTTACGTAACGATTTGATCAAAGCAAGACTTTTGCAAAACCAGAAAATACACTTTGCGGTTGGCTATGTGCTGTACAATTAATATATTTTGCCATTGTTATATGTGTAAAAAGTATGAATATTAGAAAAAAATTTAAAATCTAAACTGTTGCACTGAAGGTTCACATTTTTTGTTAAGTGAGTATAATATGTATAATACGAGTAAAAGACTAAAGTAATTTTTGTATATCAAACCTGTTAATGTTGCTGACATGCATATTTTTAAAAAAGGGAGTGAAGGTGTGTCGAATATAAAAAATTTGAAAATATTTCTACACAAATTTTACTCACCTTTATCTTTTTCTTTTGTGAATGTTATTTAAAATTTTGTTTTTCAATAACATTGCAATTAATATAAATTTCTGCTTCAGGGCGACACTATCTTAAAAGCTGAATTTAACATTTTACCGAATACAATGCTTAATACAATTATTTTAAATTCACTTTAAATTCTCGATCAAAAATGCGAGAAAGAAAAGAAAGTTATTTCACTATTTTTCACTATAATAAACCCGATGTGAATATTTTTAAAAAAATCTTTCAATTCATGATTTTCAAGTTCATTCTCTTTATTATATACTATATGAGACAATTCTATTTAAAAAAAAATAAGGTTTGTTTTATATAATATTAATATGCATATTATGTACAATTTATTATAATCTTTAAATAAATTCATTGAATAAGATACTTGTGTCTCTTGATTATTGTTTGCTAGTACGTAAAACTTCCTTCATTATATTGTAGTTTTCTCCATTATAATGTTATGTTAATATTAAATTGCACATGTAGATACTATGTCATAAGGTCTCTAGGTTTTATTGTGTCGACACAAAGTATAACAATAATTTTTCAATTTAAAATAATTTTGTGTTTCTTCTTAATTTTTTTGTTCGTTTTTAAAATTATTTAAATTATATTCTTTATAATATCATTAACATTAGTAGTACATACACCTAGTATTATGTAGTATTTATTTTATTTTTTAAACTAATTTTTGTTTATTATTTTTATTTATTTTAATTAAAAAGTAGTTATTACTTAGGTATTTAAATTGCAAATAATTCCATTTTATACAAATCCTAAACATTTTAAACTAACTGTTAATATACTATTTTTACAAGATCTAATTTAAATCTAAAGGAATTGAAAAAATTTCAAACTAAAGAGGAATAATAATTTTATATTTAGAAAAACCTATATCAATATTATTAGAATAAGATTCAAAAGTTGTGCGCAAGTTCTAGTTCTTTTGATTAATCCAATTATTTTGATGAAAAATCTGGTGAAAATTGTAAGCAAAAGCGTTAAACAATTCAAAGGATGAGTAACTTCTTAGTATATTGGTGTGACATTTGGTATTTTGTAAACAGTTTTAAGTTTTATAAATTTATTATTGAATATTGTAAGTATTATTACAGTGGTTTGGACATTCCAGTTTCCATTTATTTGAATTATATGTGCAAATATGTAATTTCAAAGCAAATAATCAACTCATTTACGTTTAATTTCTTTAAGTCATAGATGTATAAGTACCTTTATGACACTAATCAATTAGTTATCAGAAGTTATAAAGTAATTTTACAACTTACTAAACCCAAAACCAGCTAGTTCTTTATATATTAAACGTAAACTTGTTCTATATCATAACCCTGCCCAACCTTTTTGTACTAGAAATCGATTTTTTTGGATCCGATTATCTCGAGCGATCTATACCCATTTAGAATAATTTATTTATTTGACAAATAAGTTGTTATTTCTTTGAGTGGTTGTTTCTTACATTTCACCTTAATTTAAAACTGTATTGAGCACTGTAGGTGTAATACAATTTGAATTATTATTATTTTTAAAAAAAAATAACCAATGTCACGATGTCGTCAATCAGTGGCTATTCGTAGTGAAATGTGATTAATGAAAATGTCAAATTTTTCAACTGTAACTCAAGCAAATATTTTTTTTTTCAATTTGCAAAAAACTTTGTCAGAAAAACAAATTTTTGGAAAAAAATTTTTTTAGCCTCGAAAAGGTGAAGACTGAAATTGATCATGCGTCGATCGCGATCACCTTCTTAGGAACACCTGTTCTACGCAATATTAAAAAAATTTTTTATTACTTAAAAATTACGTACTTATCCAATAAATTTTTATCTAGTTTATTTTAATTTAATTAAAAAATAAAATTATCTTTTATAAACGCTCAATATCTCCTGGATCCATTAATTAATTAGCCATATTGAATTTTCTTTATTTAAATAATTGTGTACCTCTTAAATATCAAATAATAAATTAAATGTTTTGTTTTAATAATAATTGTTAATATGTTTGACTCGCTTAGAATTTTTATAGCCCCAATTCCAAGATAGTAATATACATATACATACATAATATGTACCTACATGTACATAGGCGCATTTTATTTTTTATTTAAATTTAAGACAAAAGCAATGACAACGCTTAATAAATCTAATTTAAGAATATAACACTCCTCTGGTATCACTTTTTTGTACTTACTAATTATGTACTAATTAACATATTCAAAATTTCATAAAACTTATTATAAAAATTCAGTAACAAAAATAAATAGTAAATTTTATTATTAGTTTTTTTATTAATTAGAAAAGCATCCAATTCTTGTTTATTTAATTAAATATTTTTTTAAAAGTTCACCCAGGTTATTAACATTAAAAGTAATTCGGATTCATTAAAGGAATTCAGAAAATTTAACACCTAAATTTAATTTGTTAACATAAACTTGTTTTTATTGCGTATTAAATAAGTCAGGGTGCATTTTTATTTTACAATAACATAACAATTAAGGTTGCCATTGTCGTTCATGGTCTATAACTTCATAATTAATATATTTATGTTAAAATAATTATTAATATCTGCTTGCAAGTGTTGGAAATTGACTTTATTTATAGCAGCCATGAGAGTAAAATTTTATTACTAAAAGTGTTACAAACTGCACAAAACAAGTAGAGTCAGAAGTAAGTAAATTGCTACAGCTTTTAAGTTTAAAAGTATGCCCGTTTGAAAATGTCAAAGTTAATGAAAATTATCGTAAGTGTTCTTATAGATTATTTTACAAAAATAATATTTAAATTTTAATTTTATCGTTATTATTATTCGTAAAATTTTTATGTACACATAATTGACCGTATATTGAGTTTTATTAACTCTGTAATACTTAAAATACACAAATACTCGTATATATTTAACTATGATGCAAAAATTTAACTTACTGGTTAGTAACAATATAAGTATGTAAGTAAATTGTGTAATTCTTTAAGAAAGGTGTGGAAAAAAACAACTTTTGCGGTCATTGAAGGTAAATATAGATACCGGAATGCAAAGCTTTACATAACTTTCTTATAATTGTAGAACAGTCGCTAATTGAAAGCAGTATAAAATTAACAAATATATTTTATTTTCAGCTTTTAATAATAAATTTAAACAAAATTACAATTCTTTTGTATGATAACGTTACACACTAATGATTTAAATTCAATTTGTTAAAATCTACTGCAATTTACGAATTTTGTGAATAAATGGTAAAAATTCAAAATGCGAACATTAAAATCCTTTCAAAACTATTTTTTATTTATAACTACGTTATAATAACTTGTATTTATAATTTTTCATAAAAAATAAAACAAATTGACCTTAACTATCAGTATAAAGCACACATTTTGTATGTATGCAGTGTGCGTTTAACTTGAATAAGAAACGAAAATTAGGTAACATCAAGCATTTTGAATTTTTCTCCCACTTACTGTTATCAAGTGAATTTCGATTTTGATTGTTACTCTCTTGAAAGAGACTCTGAAAGTGTCTTACTTAACACCACATTAAGTAGTTATAAAAATTCAAATACCTTTAAAAGTAAAAAAATTTATAAAACCTCACAAAAATATTCGCATTTCTTTCTTCTTTCTCTTTTCGAATGCAAAATTTTTAGATATGTATATAATTATGTACATACATGTTATTATGAAATATAACCTTTATTTACTTTAAAAATCAAGTTTGAGAGACATGCTTTTACTTTTTTTTCACATTAGCTGTATGTTACTCATCATCGTCAACGAAATTTACCTTATAACCGCTTAAAGTGTTGCGGTATAGTAGAATTCATATGAATATTTAATTTAATAGTAAGATGAAACATAATGAATAATATAAACAGAATAATCTGATGTGGTCAGCACATAACCGACCGCAAGGTTTACTTTATCGTTTAGCGAAAGTGTTGCACACTATTATGAAAATACCTTTTAAACTTCTATCAAATTTTACGGACACTAGTAAGTTTTAGCTGATATACATAGAAAAATGTAAATTTGGCTTTCCGTAAAGACTCACTTCATGTCGCATATTCATTGCTAGTTTCGGTAGTAAACTACCAGAACCCAAAAATTATATTTCAAGAAATTCCGCAAATTAGTTTCTTAGGTATGATTTCCTTTCATGTACGCAAAAATGTAAATTTGGCCCGTAGTAAAAGTCCAGGGGTGGATATTTGATTTCTTTAAAAATTCGGGAGATTTCTTGTACTTTCAAAGACAAAGTTTCAGTAAATAATAAAACAGAAATTAAATTTTAAGAAAATCTTTTGAATATTTTCTTAAAAATGATTAAAAATGTAAAATCTTGCCGTTATAAACGGCAGTTCCTGAGTCCTTATATATCCCAGAAACAGGATCAATCCGTGACATATCAAAAATAAGCTCATGTATCGAGATAAACGCGTCCACCCACAAATCGACAGACTGACGTCTCGCTAAAAGAAGTTCATTTACGCTTCCCTATACCTGTGAGAAGTGCGTTTTCAACAAAAACTGTAAAATTTGGTGTGATTGCGTAATCTCCCTTATTGTATGCGACGCGGTCGGTAAATATCACACTATGACTAAACAGTGTTATTAATTTACTCAAGATAAATATTTATAAAAATACATTCTATGAATTAAGTAATTGTTTCTTATTATGAGCTGTTTAGATATTTTGTCAACAAAATTTGTAAATACTTGTGAAAGCTAAATCACCTGTATTTTGAAAATTTTGTTTGTTTATTTATTTTTGTATATTTAAATTTGAAAAGTGAATATTAATCAAATTCAAAGCGCTATAAAAAAAATGAGTTATGACGGATTAATTTCTTTTAATTAATTTCAATATTATAATTCGGAAAAGAAATGTTACACATTTTATTACGAGTATACATAAATATTTAAAAGAGAAAAGCGTAGAGTTTGCCTTAATATTTGCGCAATTTTAGAAAAATAAAGAGTATTTAACAAAAAAATTAAAATATTTTAATACGAGTATACCCTTTCGATTTCTTAATCAAAAAATGATTAATTGTTCCACAAACATAGGAAAGATTTTCACATTAACACCCTCGTCTTCTTATAGAATAAAAAGGATTTCCGCTCTTTCCTGTCAATTTTAATTATGAAACATAGTTTGGAGCATATTTATTTGATTTTTCGCGAGCTTTACTATTTTACCGTTATAAAAAATATGACAGAATTCAAAATCATTATCTTAAATATAAAAAATATATAAATCTTTTCTAAAAAATCAGTTTATTTACTAAACTATTAGACTAAAAGTACCTGCCCAATGTTGTGGGGATTAGGATAGCGAATTTTCAATCGAAGTGTCTCAAATTAGCTCAAATCCACACCTGGTCTGCTACTGTGTTGAAGGAGAACAAAAAAATTCATTAAAAGTAAGTCCAATGTAATTTTAATGAATTTTTATAACGTTTCATCTGAAAAATATGCAGTTTTAATTTTTAGCCACTCATTAGTAATTTTTAGAGCTTTACCAAGTTCATACTAAACTTTCTTCCTTGAAAGTCTTGAAAAAAACACACATTTGTATCACAATTTGCATCTTTTCTCGTTTATATTATTTTCTTCGTTTTTATACTATCTAAAGAATTAAATCCCAACCAATAACAAAATCCATTTCTTTAAATATAATAATAGCTCTAATTTACTTTACTTTTCTACAATCACACAATATCATGCACAAATTTATCATGCAATCTATGTATTTAAAATCTCTATGTTCTATATTAGGGGCGATAAAAATTTTCCAATAAAAACAAAATCTTAAATTAAAATGTATATAAATAATATGAATTAAGTACTTGAATTGCTCTTGATATGTAGATGAACATAATAATAAATTTATTATTCTAATAAAAGCTGGTCAATGTCAAAAAAAATAATAAACTAGTAAAAATTTACATATACTTACATATATATATACATATGTATATAAAATATGTAAAACTCATTTAATATAACAGAATCTGGTACAAGTTCAAGTAGCATCTAAAAAATAATCAATGCGCTCTCTACCAAATAATTGTATACGTTTTGAAGTTATTGCCAAAGAATACAATATTATACATATGCAAATAAGTGTAAATATGTAATATTGTAATGAACATGTGCAATATATGTATGTATATATGAATGTGTTTGAAAAAAAAATAATGTATAACAATTTTCAATTTTCCGTTCTTTTGAGTTTAAATGCACTTAAATTGTATTTTTATTATTGACTAGATATGAGGTCTAATTGCTAAGTAAATTTGTTAAAATTTGCTAACTAAATTATGGAACGGAATGGAATAAAATAAAACTCAGTTGAAAGTTAAAATTTTATTCAATATTTTATTAAAATAAGCAAGGATTTCAAAACTACAAAAAAAAATCTTGATTAAAATTCTTAATTATAGCAAATCTTAATTAAGTAAGGTCTTTAATCTTAAATACACATTATGTCTCGTAGGGTCTTTAAAAATACATTGAAATTATTACTTATAACAACTAATGAGATTTTTCAGCAGTTACTATAATAAACTATTTTGACCTATAGTATTGGGAATTTTCGAAAATTCAGTTCTTAGAATTTAATAAGAAGCATATGTTAGATGAATATTTATTACGAAAGAAGTACGTTCGAAAATCGTTTGGTGTGCTTAAAGTTCGAAAACACTTAAAGATTCCGTTTTTAAATGCTGCAAAAATAATTTAAGTTTGAAAAATATCAACTTTTTTATTACATTTTCGAAACTTTTTTATTATATAGAATCAATTTTCACACGCACTATATTGTAATAGCTTCCGAACGATTTATATTTACAGTATATGCAGCATATAATTTTCGGACGTGCTACAAGTTACATATAACTGAATTAACGAAAATCCCCTATATCTGAATTACACATATTCACCATTGTGTCAAAACGTTTTTGATAAATAAATTTGTTATTGCTCCAAATATTGTTACAAAATATACATATGTGTTTAATTTGCTGTTGTTAACCTGAGTGTGAATATTTTACAAAAAAATTTTGAGCACATATTTGCAAGCAGAGTAAAAAATTATAGTTAATATTAAAATAATTATAAGATAAGTCAAGATAAAAGTCTTGGCTTAAACTAGAACTTTGAAAAATTTTCAATGGTAGTTCTTAAGAAAGAAAAACTGATGAATCAAATATTTTTAATTAAATTTGTTTTTATTTTTTTTCCGATAATTTCATTAGGCAAATCAGTTATGTACGTATGTACTGAATATGTACTAATTTTCTACATAATATGAATATATGCACTTGTCTTATCACAACACTTATGTTGTGTATAAGCAAGCACACATAACTTACACATACTGAACATTTCTGTCTAAAATTATAATATTTGTACAGCGGCTTGAAAACTATTATATACATATGTACATATGTATATATACGCCTGCTTTTCAAAATTTTGTTCTATATTGTTTTGATAACTTTCATTATTTTTTGCTAACCTTTTAGTTTTCTTCACAAATTATCAATGAATTTCGTTATTATTTCGTATTAAATTTAATATTTGTTTTTTGGATTTAAATCGGCAATTTTGATCTCACAATTTGAATTATATTAATTTTGTGTACACATACATACACAAGCACTATATTATACATATAATGTAGCTCGCAATATCACATATTTTTTAACTAACAAATCCTACTTGTATTTAGAACTGGGGGAACTTTAATTTTGTTATACGCTATAACAAGGATTATAGTATATCTATACACATATACACACTAATATAACAAAAAAGGAAAAAGGATTTTTTTTCTTCTTATTATTCACCTTGATTTTTTTAATTCAATAATAATAAAGAAATTATTTCATTCTTTGTTTTCATTATTCTTTTTCTATATTTATGTACCTATGTTTATTACTAATAAATATTTTCAAATAAATAATGATTAATTCCCGTATACGCGTTTTCATGAAGCGCTATACTTAAATTTTTTTTCTCTCAATTTTAATAATTTATTTTTTCGCGTATCTACCTTTTATATCCCATCAATGCTCAATTATAACTGAAAATCATTTAGCGAACAAAAATTAAACTGTGATGGAATAAAATAAACACCTTTGCTGGAGAGAAGCTTTTTTTCTGAATGTGGCGCGATGAAATTGATGTGAATCCAAAATACAAAATAAGTGTATGTAGTTGGATTATGAAAAAAACGTAAAAAAAAAAATTGTATGTACTGAAAATTGAGCAGCACTGTTACTGTTGTGTACAGAAATTATCATGATAAATAAAAGCTGTGTAAAAAAATTTCCATTAGAATTTTTGCGAAGGTTAGGGAATCATACTTCATGATTTTCATATTCTTTTATACGTATTATGATATGTATATCAAATATATTTTGTTGTTGTTATTATGAGTACGAGTATTAATAAATTTTGCAAAAAAAATTGAATATTTGCAAGTAGAGCAAAAAATTAAGAAGATAACATAAAGCTAAGTGTAGGTACATACATGATATAGATATACATACAACGTATGAATTAAAAATTTGAGTGAGAGAAATATTTTTCTAGAAATGAGCATAAAAAGAGAACCGTTGTTGTAAAGTAGAAAAAGATTCACAACACAACTATTTTATATCTAAGATATAACAAAAGTTCTTCGGTAAACAATAATAGCATTTTCTCTGTTTTTGTTTACAATATTATTTGTAGTATGTACTATAATGTGAGGAGTGAAACATATACCGTTTAAACTCCTCTGAGTACACATGTCAAACATCAAAATATTGTACAGTACGCCGTAAAAGTCATAATAGAAACTAAATAATATCTACACTACATTGATGTTAATGTATATACAAGAGTACTCATATGAAAGTATTGGTAAGAATTTTATGTTTTTATTGTTTTCGGAAGTAAAAATGTAAAGTAAAAGTGAATCCTTGAAATTTTATTTCAGGAAACGGATACAAAAGTAAATAAATCGAGTAGAATAAAAATTCAAATAACTTTTAAATTTAAATATACACACACATATGCTACACAAACAAAGTTGAATCGCTCATTTAATTTTATATTGACTATTTTTATTGTATTATGTGATAGGAATAATAAATTAATTTATTGTTTTAAGAATTAATAATGTTGTTTATTAATTAGGGCATTCGATTTAATTTATTTTATGTTTCTGGTACTGGTAATAAATTATAATTTATTTAAATAAACTTAGTATGTAAGTATGTATATACACATAAAAATAAGAGTATGTGAAATAGTTGATCTGCCGGCCGGTTTACTTTGTTTATTTACCACTTGCGATTATTGGACTCACAAAATAATGGTGTGTATACATAGGGGAATTTGTATATGTATTTGGTACCTAATTATATAATAGAAGCTATTACTAATGTACCATTATTTACATATTTTAATAATATATATTAATATAATACGAATAAATAGGTACATTGTTGTATGAGGTTTAATTTTTTTATAAAAACTCATATTTCTTATACATACATATGGAATGTGTATATCCTTGATCCGAATTCCGTTCTTATTTAAAAAATTATTTAACTTTGCCTGTTAAATAATTTTATAGATTGTAGATTGGGGCTATGACATTATGCACCGCGACCTAAAAGATCTACTTTGCCCCTGTTAAAAAATTACGATAACGGTATCGGTTTTTTTGCTAAAAAATTATTAAAATTTTAGCATTCAATTGATCTACACAATATTTTACATACAAATTAACAAAATTTGTGTTTACATATATTTTAATAAATTACATACTAAATACAAGTACATTATGTCGTTATGTATTTGGCTATTGAAAGCTAGTTAACAATTAAACTTAAATTATTAGAAATTGACTTGATATGCATAATAATTACTGTTCCATTCAATAATTGAAATTCAAAATGCATGTATATAAGAATTTTAAATTAAATAATTTTTATGTATACATGTTTGTATTGAACTATGTGACTGCAATAACAAATTTGTGCCAAAATTTTTTAATAAAATTGAAGATTTATATTTTTTTAAAATTTATGCACGAATCTTTTGTGCTTAGAATTTGGAAAATCTCTATTTTTATATTTCTGTTCATTTTAATTTATTTAAAACACAAAACTCAAAGATTTATAAAGAGCTTCTTTAAGAATTGCCAGATGGAATTATTGTTATAAATATAACATTAGTGAAAAACTATTAAATTACTAAGCATATGCAATATTATACATACGTATTTTAGACATAAATTTAAAACATATTTTTGGGAAAACTATAAATATTTTCAACAACAATAACAACTCCTAGTAGTAATGGTTTTATTGCATAATTTAAATTATTATGGAAATAAGAATATGAAAAGAGTTAAATTAAGAGTGTTGGTTATACAAGCTAAATTATGTTTCTCTATTAGAGGCACGTAGCATAATTACAGGCTCAAAAGCAAACCATAAAACGGAAATGATCAGCATTTGAATGCTGTAATAAATTTTATGTGAAATTAATATTAAATTTTTTGGAAAACGAAAAATGTCTGAGGCAATGAGTAAATGAATGAAAATGTTCTAACCTGGCAATACTAATTAACTAAAAATGGAGTTGCCAATACTAAATAATATAGATACCAATTTTTAATTTCCGTATATTCGCACATTTTTAAATTCATTTTTTGGTGAATTAAAATCATAAATAAAATTAATTAATTTACAAACACAATAAAGAAAAAACGTATATGCATAAATGATATTATTTAATGAAAAGCTCTTTTAATACATAATGAGTACAATTTCAACACGTTATTGACTTTGTTGTGTACATGCTATGAGTTTACATACGATATTCAATATATTTTTGCACACATAAAGATGCTCATATAAAATAAATTTTTCTTTGTTCGATAATATTAATTTGAAACCATTATTAAATTCTCGAGTTTTTATTGTGTTTTTACTTTTAAAAGTCTTTACTCTTTATTATATAAAATCGCAATATAACTTGTTCATTATGTCTGATGAGTAATTTACTTTGTTTATTTTCGCTTTATGTATAAGTGCGTTAAAATGTCGCGATATTTTAGAATTTTGTTGTAATTTTAATGTAAACTTAATATTTATATATACATACATACATATTTGTCGGAATTTATTTGTCTTTTCGCCGGTAAAACGACCTTCAAAAAATGTTATTTGTGACTTTCTTTGTTTGCAAACAAAATATGACTACATAATTCTACCTGCTATTTGAAGTTATAGTTTTACCTGTTATTTTATAGTGCTATTGTAGAGATTGTTTTGCTTAATTAATTTTTTGCTTTATGTAATATTTCTCATAATAACGTGAAAGACACAAGTTTACATTAAAAAACTTGAAACTTTAAAATATTTGTCAATCTATAATAATGCACAGAAGCACAAAAGATTCTGCCCGAAAAGGTGTGCATAAGTGTGTTTAACAATTGGCAATTTTAAAATTAAAAGAAACTATCTATACCATACGTAATAGTAAAAAATCGAATAATTGATAAAAAATTGTAATTCTTTTTTTGTTAAGCGTAAATAAAGTTTATCGTACTTTGTATGTGCATTTATCGCTTCTTCAAGAAGGTAATAAAAGTTTGTAGTAGATAAAAATAATAAAAAAAACTTTGATTTTGTTTCCATGCACTAAAATAAGTGCTTTTTGTTACATTACTTATGCAAGTTTTTTTGTTTTCTCTCTTACAACATTGCATTTTCACCAAAAATATCAGTAAATAAGTAAAAGATTTTCGAAAAGTAGGTCACTATGTTTTGGTTGCATTCACAGATTTAACATTAACTTGTTCGTTATTGACTTTTTATCATTTAAGTACGTATTAACTTTTACCAAATCACTTATAATACGATGACGAATATGAATTTCAATTTGTATAAAGTTCGTTTCCACAGCATTTCTCTCTGTTATAATAATACAAATAGTCTGCATAAACTACTTAAGCGAACTCGTTTTGTGGTCACTTTCATTTTCGTAACTAAAAATTAGTTAAAAATTATTTTAAGAAAATTATATAATTAATTTAACAAGTAGGTATATTGGAAGTTTTTATGCAGTTGCAATGATTTCAAGAAATTTTGTGTTTTGCGAGAAAGTAAATTATCTTGAGAATTTTTCTACTCCTATTAATGAAAATTTATTATACGTTTTTCTTATTAATCATTATCATTACTAAATATTATTATAACTATCATCACAACTTGCATATCATTGTAACTAAATAATCCTCTGTAGATTTAATAAAACACTGACAACATTATTTGAAAAAAAACAGCAACAAAATATCCAATTTATTTATTGAGCATTAACTTGAAATGTTCTGCTGGTTCCTTCATATGGGAAAAGTCCACCTAATATATATTTATAAGTACCAACATGTTTTATTCTATATAATCCAGGAATTGTATCGGGTCCTATTGTCCATGTTATATGCATATCACTAAATCCAAGAACGGTTGAAGTTCGTTCCCAATACATTCTACAAAAACAGATCAAAATTTCAAAATATTGATTAGTAAATTAATAAATATTTTATTACCTCGTTTCCCAGCTAGCATCAGTGAATGCTACTTCCCAATTTTCTTCGTCTACTTGCCGTTCAACAGTAAAATAACTTTCCTCATGATATAAATTGTTTCTTGGATTGGCAGCAACAAAAGAAACTTTGACAGTATCACCAAACCTGTACGTGTCTTGTGGTTCAGCTTTTATTGAACCGAAGTCTTTGCCTATTGGATGGCCATCGTAAACAACACCAGTTGTTAATGATAACATGCGATCATTTAAGTACGGAGGTAATGGTCCTTGATCAACTTTTTGTTTTGATAATAAAGCTCGAATTAATCTTTGATATTGATCAATATATATTGAAAGAGTATGTGGACCAAAAATTGTTGAAGCAGCTTCATAGCGTTGCTTTAGATATTCTTCGTTTGTTGTTATATAACTTGAATAAAGATTAGCTAAGCCAGCAATTACTACTTCGAAATTATTTGAATTTTCATGTTCCAGAGCCGTTTCACTTAGTTTTCTTTTTAACCGTCTACCAGACATTGTTGTGAATTCACCAGGAATACCAGTTAAAATTAAATTGCCTATTTTGATAAGTTGGGTTGGAACGATTCGTGGCTGCCACTCGTATGGGAACCATGCCTAGATGTAAATGTGTAAAAATTATTTATTCTAACAATTTTTAAAACAAAAAAGACTTACCCTGCCAGTTGCCAACAAAATTGGTTTGGGTGAATGACAATTGATATCTTCTTTTGTTGGTTTAGCGATAAAAGTACGTACCATATTCCATAATGGGTTTTCTGTTACTGTACCTTGTTCAAACAAGAACATGCCAGGACCGTCCGTTGTTCCAGCTGCAAAACTATAGCCCATAGCTGGAACGCATCCCTTTAATATCTCGGTTTGATTTGTTGTGGGATTTGTAACGTTTAAGGTATAATTTGGTACATCCACAAATTGATGAATAAATGAAATATCTCCAGTAATTTCATTACCTTCGCCTTGTTTAATTAAAGACTGTACAAATATATACAACATTAAAAAAACTTTAATAGGGGATAATTTATATTTTTGTGTTTTAAATAGCGCTTACCGAAGCTTTCTCATAAATTCTAGACGCAATAATTTGTGTACTTTCAAACATATCATTTCCTGGTCCCGAAGCAAAACATTCACCTTCATTTTTCGGACATTTCGATGTTAGAATATCACATGGATTACCAGATTTTGAACATTTTGGACCCAAAATATTTGGTGAAACATCACCTAAATTTGAATTTGCAAAAGCACCAACAAATTTTCCCTAAATTTAAATATTTATGCTATACTGAAATTCATCTGAAAAATATTCACACATAATAATAAAATTCTTACTTTTCCTGGTACATCCTTTGGATTGTACTCCTTTTCTAAAAGCATTGAAGCATAACCCATGTTATCTGATGTAACCAAATGATTTGTGTTATTCATGGAAACCGGGTGTACAGCAAACCAATTAAAAACTCCAAACACATCACCATTGTTGTCAACAAATTTTAACTGCGTCAAAGTTTTATCAACGTCATGTTCGTATAATTCTCGTTCTTCAACTGGATTAGCTAGATATGATGTAGGAGAACGATTAATGTTAGCGTTTAATACTGTTGTTTTTGATAAGAAAATTCTGCCATCTTGAAGATTATCATGTGCACGAACGATACTCTTTTCGCAAAATCAACGTCAAAAAAAAATTCAAAAAGTGAACCGAACATATGAAAAAAAGTTTTACTAATTAGATTAATTTTTCAGATTAAAAATATTTTTTATAATATTTACCAAATATATCCCTTCAACCAAAGCTTCATATGTTTGTGCTACGAATCCCAATATGGAAATATCATACAACAAATGCATTAGAAACCCACCAGGAGCACCATGAGTGTGAGTTGCAGTAATCATTATATTATCTATTGTATACAAATCGTCATAGCGTTCTTGCAATCTTTTAACAACTTCACGTTTTAAAGCATGTCCAATCATACCAGCGTCAACACTTACAAACACGACTCGTTTATCATCCTTTTCAACTATGAATGAACGTGAATATTGCCGAAGGTGGAGACCTTCTCCTTTTTGTTTTAAATTAGCATATCCCATCTACAATTAATAAATTAAAAATTTTAACATTATAAGGTATTTAACTACACAAATAAAACTAAAGTTTACTTACAAACGTGATCTCAACAGGTGGTCCAGTGCAATCAGCTCGCCCGACACCAATTTTATACGGCGCACTTTGAGCGCAAAATACATAACTTAGAACAAGAAAAGTTACTCCAAAAACAAAATTAGAGAAATTCATATTGCTCTATTTTTGTGTGGTTACTGATGTAATGTTAAAAAGAATACTAAAATTGAAATTCATCAATGAGTTTTTCATAATTTTTATCTCATTATTTTGATATTTATTTTAATTAAATTGACAAACCTATGTATGTATGTCTGTATGAACATTCACAAAATTAAATAATGTGCACATTTCTTTACTTTAAAGATCATAATGCGTTCATGTGCAATTCATATAAATATTGACTGAATATTGAAACGAATCATACAAATGAAATACATACATACATTTTACAATCAAATTTATATGCATATGCCTAAATGAGTCGTTTAAATATACTCGTATGGACATCGACATAAAATCAAACAGACGGTTATTCTCGAAAATCGAGATATTCTACGTTCTACTTAATGTTCTACTGAACGTTAACTGTTATCAAAGACGACACGCTGAATAATGGCGACAGCAATTAAAGATAATGCAATTGTAAATAAACAAGATAGTTTTTAGTAAAAGTTACTAATAATATAATAACTAGTAAGTTACTAGTATAAAGAGTATCCATTGATAGAAATGACACGAAAATTCAGTTATATTCCAAAGTTTATGCACCGCATTAAAGTCTGCAAAAATATCCTTTTCACAATAAAAATAAAAAACTAAATCCAGAAAAATAATATATGGTAAAATTATGTTGGTAAATTTTGAAAAAAGCAGCACAAAAATTGAAAATCAATTTAAAAAATTAATTCTGCAAAATTAACTTTTTTAAAAAAAAATAAACTTACCGGAACACAATACATTCACGGTAAAATTTTACTTTTTTCCCGTTACAAACCGCCTAGTGAACTATTTTGAACTGAAACTCTAAAAATTATTGTTCTTAAATTTATTGATAATTTATTTTTATATTAAAAATATAAAAATAAATCACAATTTTTTCGATAATAATAAAAGCTTTCTATTATTGTAGATTACCCCCAACTTTTGTTGCATAGATGTTAATATAAGAATTATAAAGTAATTACAAATAATTACAAAGCAAGATAATCTTATCTTTATATGATATTAAAGATTAATACTTCATGAAATTGGTAATTTTGGGGCTAACAGTTAATTATAAATATCAGTTTCAATGGCAATTAATATATAAAAAATATAAAACGTATTGTGAAGTTTTATTTGTATAAATTTAAGGATTTTCTCACAAGATTTCTTTGATATTCCGATTTATACTTTGTCGGTAGATATTGCGATTAGGCGCATGCCTAAATTTATGATCAAATTATAAATTTTTACTCAAAGTTAATATTTTTTTCAGATATTATAAACACATACTTGAACTTAATGTAGTGTACTTTAATTGTTATTATAAGTTTTCATTAATATTGATCGAGTAACTTAATTTCCAAAATATTAAAATCTTCTATAGTAAGATTAAATTTAAACCTAAAACTGAAATAAGAGCCTATTATTTAACTGTATTAAGGGTCAAATCTATGCAGAGGTTATGTCGTCAAACAGTCTTCTCTTATTAGTGACTCTGCGAACATTTCATATAGAATACACATGATACAAATGATTAATTTAATAATTCATATAGAATACACAAAATAAATGGGACTGACCAGAACGGCCAGAATGAAGAAAATTAATACTGCGAATTTTAACATCGGCGGTGAAATAATCTACAAGTTTATTTAAACGTCATTTTTTGACATCATCTGTTTCCATGTGTGTGTGAAATTATATGCAAAAAACTGAGAAGTTGATTTTACCAATCCGCTGTTGTTTTGGGTTAATAACGGAAAATGTCCGCTGTTATCATTCACCGCTTTAGTTCTGTCTTTACAGTGCAATTTAACATTTGGTGTTTCTTAGAAAATTAATTGCATTATAAAATGTGGTAAATCATGAAATTAGATGAGTAATATTTGTTTTGGTAAAACTGATTCATTTTTGACAACTTCAAAGTATATATTAAAATTAATGCAACTTGTCAAAAATCAATAATAACTTTCACTGAAAAGAACACGTTTATTATATTTTAGTTAGTGCTTTTTTTTTTTCCTAAAATAACTGATTTGAAATATAATACAATCTCGTGAATTTAATGATCTACACGTAAATGACTGCGAAATACCTTCACAAGGTTCAAATTTTTAATTTTGCCATTTTCATTTTTCATTTAAAAATACAATTTTCACTTTTATCGGTATTTCGTATAAACGTAAATCATACACGACTTTTGACAGTCGCAAGCGGAATGCCGCGCTCATTACATCCACTACTTAAAACTTATGTAGTTAAATACATAAAACGAAACAGCAACTCTATCAATATGTCACAAGTTGACTTTCTTTTCAAGCTGTCTACCACCATTTTTTATCCAACAACAGTAAAGTCTATAAGTAATAAATAACAATTGAAAAAAATAAATAAAAATAAAATACATATTTTTTGTTAAATAATACATTTTTCAAAATGAATAAGCGTATGCCTAGAATATCTGGGCCGAAATTAACTAAAAGGCAAAAAGTTAGATTATTGGAGATGATGAAAGATTCTCCAGAATTGGAATATGGTAACCGTGGCGTTAGTTATATGAAAAATGCGTGTGCTCGGGAAGGAGCTATCAGAAGATGGAAGGAAATTGCGAATGAATTAAATTGTATGGATGGCACTGTACACAAAGAATGGCAATCATGGAGAAAGGTTTACATATATAAATTTAAGAATTGTAAATTGAAAAGAACATATTATTTTAGACATGGTCGGATATACGAGCTAAAATGACAGAAGATTGGTCCTCAGTCGTAAATACCTACTTAAAAGAAAATACAATGCGTGGTAATATAACGAATTCATATATTAGTGATGGGACAAAGCATACCCAAAAATCAAACTATACTAGTGAAATGTTTTTTGATGGTTCTTATAATCATTCAAAAGACGAACAAGAGGTATTTATTAAAAAGTGGAATCTGAAGTTTAGTTTGATAGTCTTTTTTTAATTTGTTTTAATCATTTTAGTTTGGAGATTTCAATGAAAATTCCTCATTTACTAATGAAAAATCAATGAGGAGAATAACTACAGGAAAGAACCTTGAATCGGAATCGCTAGTTGAACATGATAATCCAATTACCAAAACTGAATACAATAGTGAAGAGGAGGATGCTGGTCTATATGTGATACAAACTAATTCCAACCAGCAAAATATTGAACAAAATCCTAGTAATGATCACAAAAGGAAAAAGAAGAGATCGCATAACAATTACAAAAAAGAAAAAATTTCATTGTCTCACCTCATGCATCAGTATATAAATAAAAAAGCTAAAGTGAAAGAAGAATATTATTCAAGGAAGTTATTGCTTTTAGAACGAGACGTAACAGCTAAAGAATCAATAGCATCATCTTTAAGAATTTTAGCAGAAGGAAGATCAGATTTATTTCAATTACCTTAAAATAATTATAAATTTATTTTAGTTATTACTTTTAGACATTTAAAATAGTTTAAAATATTTTAAATAGACACAAGTAAATGGTGATGTAAATGGTACATTACATTGAAATAACGTAATGTACAATAAATATGTAATACATATAACAATGTGCATACATAAATTTGAGTAGATAAGCATATTTTTGAAAGGTAATATAAATTAGTAAAATACAATTAAAAATATAAATTGAATGTACACATACAGAAACAGTTTTAAGATATATTTTCCAAATTTCTTATTTCGTTAGGCTTAGGAGTAAATCAAGAAGCTAACTTCAAACTTTTTTTTAATATGTGTTACGTTGCATTACATAACTTGTGTTTTAAGGCTAGAATAACAAACCTTTCTTTATACATATTTGCTATGTAAAAAATAAATAGAAACATTTTATTTAATTAAAAAAACATTTTATATTCCCAAAAATTTTTTAGAACATATAATGCTGAAGAAAGATAATTTTATTTTAAAAATATGTACATATTTAGTGATTTAAGTGACTGCCTATGTACATATTTAGTGATTTTAAATACTAAATTGAACTCATAGATTAAGCTATTATAATTTAAATATTTTACCTTATTTACTTATGTATCTTTGGAATATACCGTTATTAATTATTTAAATAATTTTTTTGATTGCAAATAAAAAGAAAGGCACATTCCATTAAATCATTTTGTTTAAAATACCGACTTCATATGATTCTTCAATCTAATATACACAATAATAGATCTTTTGAAAGCATAGAACACTTTTGATTTATATTAATAAAAAAAAAACAATTGAAAAAGAGTGAATAAAAATAAAAAATCAAGAATTTCTTCTTTGGCAAAAAATATTTTGTCTGACCAGCACATAACCGATCGCTTTATGGTAAAAAAATTCAGAAAGGTGGTGTAGAAAGAGACTATTTCCCAAACAGAGAGAAGTGTGTGTAGATTTAAACGCTAACCTAACTGTCGAACCCAAATTAATGAAATACGCTTCAACTTTTTACTTTCCATTTAGAATTTAAAAAATTCGGCCAACATAAATTTCGGAAACAACTCCAACTTAGTAACTTCTTACTGCTATATTATTCTTAAATACAGGAAGGCCACCAAATTTAGTTTTGCCAAATTCAATGTGAGACCCGATATCTTTGTATGCAATGCGATTGATAAATAATTATAATAAAAATATGCCGGCTAAAACTGGTTTCATAATTTAATATAAGCTGAAATTTGATAGAATGCAGAAAATAAATAAGTATTCGTTCTGTCGATTTATAAAGTGTGTATGTTTATTACTTATTTATATTTTGTAATGTGATTGTATATTTCGATTCTACAAGAGCTCTTTTAAAGAAATATGTATATTAGTGTGTAGAAAACTTTGCAACTTTTTATTTTGTTTTACATTTACATATAAAGCTACATACATATTATGTAGTACAAACACTCGTTTGTATCCATTCAATATAAAACACTCAAAATGTGGTTGAAAAACAGATTTTCTTTTTACAAACAATATCAACAATCATCATTCAACAATGAATAAGAAGAAAATTGTGGAAAAAAATGATTCAATTCGATTCAATCAAAATTCAAATTGATTGTGATTCAAATACTTTAGTATTTGCTGAATTCTCTCAGTTTAAATAAATTTTTGATAGTGCGCGGATGCGTGTTTTGGTGTCTGTTTGTTTTTTTTTTTTAGTAGATATGTGCATATTAAATATTTAATTACAATTTATTTTAAAATATACAAATTATACATACATATTATTTATATTATTGTGTCTTAAGAATTTGTTTTTTAAGTAAAATAAATGTAAAATATATGTGGGTGCGTACTTACATGCATTCCTACATAGTATGTAAACCTTTGTGAAGTAATTTCAATATTTTTTCAAAAGCTGTAAATAATTAAATACCGAAAAATTTTGTAGTTACATAAATATAAACATACCTACACACGTATGTTCTAATTAGTGAAATGAAAAATAATTTTTGAGAAAAATCGATTAATAATTTTAATCACATTTCTTTTTAAAGAGCTTGGTATAAAGTGTGTTCTATGATTTTATTTTAATTGTTGGGGAAAATCCAACTGAAGTAAATTTTAGAACGAAAATAATAAAAAGAAAAATTAAAGAAATTCCAAATGAATTTGTTTTTTATTGCAATATATTTAAGTACCTAATAAGTAATTTAGAATTTTTATTATTTATAAAACAAAAAAATTGTCAATTGTAATAATAAAATTACAATAAGTGTGAAATCAAAACCTTGTACGTATAGCTGCAAATTAAAGAAAAAAAATTCTATAACTATACGTTGTTCATATGGTAAGTTTCATTTAACATGTAGGCATATTATATATTTATACATATACATATATGCATACCAATTTATATATTAATTTTGAAATGAAATATAAAAGTTAGAGCTAGAAATTTTGAAAGTGATAAGAATTATAATTTGGAACAGAGTGTGTAAAAAATTAATGTAAATTTAAAAATGTAGGCAATAATATTAACATTAAGTACATCATCTGATCAAATTTACAATAAGTGTTATTAGAACACCCCCTAAAAACTAATACCTACTGCCGAAATTGAACTATAAAACATATTGCTAAGAATTAAGATTTGCGAGGAAATTTATATTGAGTAGGTACCTATTAAAATTGTAGAAAACTACAATAAGTATAAAAATAAATACCGTCTTACATATTTTTAAGACAAAATTAATTTTTTTCTCCTATGTTTTAGTTTTAAACCTTCGCATCACCATATAATACAGTTCATACAATGCAGTTCATACTTTATATTACATTACAGACAAAATGCTTACAAATCATTATCGCAATTTAGTGACTTTATATATAAATAAAGAGAATAATTTATCAATCATTCGAAAAATGAAATGCTGTGAAGTTATTCAAACTTTATAAATGAACATTCATTTATTTGTATGACATCCTTGCATTTTGATTAACGTGAATTTTGATAGTGCGTTATGCAAGTAAACTCTTTTGGTTTGTTAATAATGAGCTAAACGTGTTCCAATTTAAAACGATATACATATGTAATTTAGGTAGTAAGGTATATTATTTATTAATTTAATATTGATTATATTATACCTACTAATTTAGGATGAGAATAAAATTATATTTTCAGACGTAACTGATTTTAATGGCTGAATGTTTTATTAAAATCTATTCTTCACAATAATTAGCAAGGGTTATCTTACTTTTGGTAACCTTTCCAAAATTCTCTACATTCATATCCTTCACAGTTTATTGCACATGAATATTGCCATACACACATAATATTTTAAATGAAAAAACATAGGCGATTAAAAAAATTTTTTTGATAAGAAATTTTTTTTAAATGGATTTTTATTAGAAAGAAAAGAACGAATCTACAATAAAAAAAAGATTTTTTAATAAAATGATTTTGCTTTTAGCTATGAAAGTGTTAATTTCATAATATAAATTCTACTCTATTGCCGGCTTTTAGAATTTTTTTTCTCCCTTATTTTCAATTCAAGGGTCAATGAATTTAGTTTAAATGGTATTAGATGTAGTAAGTACTTTTTGTATAAGTAGTCTAAGTTCATAAGTATTTGAATATATATGAATATGTATGTATGTTATAAAACTTCCGATAGAGAAAGAGTTCCTTGTTAATATGCCTGTACATACATATGTACATATTTGAAATTTGCTCTACAATAAAAATATTTTGCCATAATTTAAGTCAGTCTAAGCACATTTAAAATATTTATATTTATTTTTCGGATTATTGTTTTTTTTTTAATTAAGTCCATATTTAGGTTATGTTGATAATTGTTGCCATAATAAAATTCATACAGTTATTAAGTATAGTTGAAATTATTTTATACATATGATTGTATTGTATGTATATTATTAAGTAAGTGAGGAAGTGTAATGTAGAGCTATTTAAATACATCATATGTATGTACCATAATTATATATGGATGTATGTAGAATATGTAAGAACAAAATGTTAATATTATATTTCATTTAAATACAATTGTTACAATTACGTTTTGTGTTTTTGATTTCATAAAATTAGGAACTGATCTAAAAAAAATTTTCAGCTCTTCGAAATCCTCAAAAGTAGTTTAATAAATTTCGAGATTTTTTTAGCAGTACTATTCAGGAAGTGAACTGTCAAATAAAATACATAATATGTATTCAGCGGTATACTTCAAAAATTCTTTTTCTTTTATATTTGGAGAAATGTTCGTAAGTGTATGTGCAGTATGAAATTTTATATATATAAGTATATATGTATGTGTTTCTAAATAACGTGCAACCATTATATTTTCTGACATATGAATCACAATTTTGGAGATCTAGCAGAATTCAGAAAATAAAACAGCTGTTTTGCTATTTACTGCTCTTCCTGTTTTTCTTATTTTTTTATTATCATTATAATTATAAATTATGATTATATGCATACTTATTGTACATACATATTATGTTCTTTTTACATGTTTCTGTTGTTTTATTTAGTATTTATAGTAGGCATCTACATGTTGGTACATTCAGAGATACATTTGTTTAAATGTACAAAAATGTATCTGTACTCGTCCATATACATTATAAACATTATGTACATCATGAATTTGCGTATTTAGATAAAATTGTGAATTGTGATAAAAGTAATCGGTATTCAGTAATCATCTAAGTACTTTTGTAGATGATAAATTAATTGGTTGAAATTGAACAGAATTTGGACAGAACGTGAAAATTATAAATAAGTAATTGTTAGTGAAATGTTTGAAGATATGTTATGTAGAATATATGTATTGTATTATTATGATTCTTGAAGCTAATACTTTAAAACAAAAAATGATGCAGAAAGTTAATATTATTGAGTGTACTTAATTACCTTTTCATTGGTGCACCATATTTTGTTGTACACATAAGTCTGTTAGGTCTTTAAATCCTAAACGGAATTTAATTCAGAATTATTGTTGACAAGGATACGTATATAAATATGTATATGGTAATTGTATTTATGATAAAAGTCTAATTATTCTAATTCTTGAAATGTATGTATCAGGGGAAAAAGTCACGTACTCCATTCTAAAGAGTTCTAAATTTTACTTTACATTCAACACTAAAATAATAAGTATCGAATCATAATCATTTATTATTACTAAAATAATAAACTAAAATATTAAACTATTTGCGTTTTCTACACATATGTACGTACTTCAGTATACGTACGTATTTAAAGATTAAATTGCTTTTTTTCACAATTCGTAACATACTTACTGCCACAGTTAGTTATATAAGTTCTTATAGCTTGATACAAATATTTAATTTATTACTAAATTATAGATTTAAAACTGAGGATGTAATAAGTCTTTAGTGGTAATATTTATTTAATGCAGTGTATTATATAGATTTTTCTTAATAAGTAAATCTTTTCGGTTTGAAATTGAAACAGCAGAGAGTAACAATAAACAATAATGGAAATCGTTTAAAAAAATTGCAAAATAAAAATATTTTTAATTCAAGTATTAATGCGATGGGATAGCATTAAAAAAGTATATGTATATACTTATGTATGTGTGTATGTAGTTGAGCTACTCTTATAATATATTATATAATATATACATATACTTATACATATTTAATGCATTGTAATTAATGTTTTAAGATGCGAAGAGCCATTAAGACCATATGTTGTTAATAAAAATAAAAACATAAAACTAAATAATCACAAGTATTATTTTCAATTTCCAATACAATTTTCTTTAATAAATTCAAATTGAATTTTTCCATTAAATGGAAGAATGATTGATATTTTTCAATAAAATTCATTTGTTGCATTAGAAATTATTCAGAAAACTTAAATGAAACGTGTTACAAATATTAAAAGTTTTCAGAAAATAATTTAAAATATGATGAATTTGTTTAAATAGAGTAACGAATGTATCGTTATTAATTTTTTATAGATATGTTAAGATAAAAGCTTAAGCTTACTAATGATAAGTTTATTTAGACATACTAAGTATAAAATAATTACTTATGATCAGTTCGAAAAATACTAGTAAGTTAGAAATGTTTGAATTCGAATGTTAGAATTCGAATTTATAAATTATAAGTAAGTATTAAAGAATTGTCAAGAGTATTTCAATATTCTGTTCCAATATGAGTAACTATGTTTTAATTTTTAGAAATATGTACTTACTTATGTGAGAAAGATTTATTGTTTAAAGTTAACTACTAGCAGATAATAAAAATAAATTTTTTAATTAAATATGTGGAAAGAAAAATTCAATTAAAAATTCAATTTTTCAATTTTATTTCGCCGCCATTCATTTCAATACCCGTAGTTTTCTTTAATAGCTTATGAAATGTAATATTGTGCAATAGCTCATAAGTTGTAATTAACATTGTTGTATTTGTTTTCTCTAAAAAACCTAATGATTCGCAAATTGAAATTGTAAGTTATGCAATTGTAATAAAGTAATGTACGTACGTTACTTATTTGCTTATACTTATGCGTGATTACAATTTAAGTACTAATTTAAGATTGATAACTTTTAAAAAATTTGATCGTACCTAAATAAATTTTGTTTTTGTTATGAATTTCCAGTTGTGATTACGTTTGATTTTTTTAATGAAAGCTGCTAATGGCGTTTGTAATATAAAAGTAATTATTATCATCAGATTATGAATTCTTAAAGAAAATATGCCTTTTCGTAAAAATGCTTATAAAAACAGTTGGTTACATATAGTTAAAACTTAAAAGTTACATAAGTAATAAAATTTATTTACTCAATTATGAAAAATTTTAATCATAACCCTAATATTTATGAATTTCAATTCAAAAAATTGATATTTAATTAGAGACTAGGTAAATTTCAATATTTTTTTTAAAAATTACAAAAAACTTCATTGATTTGAGCCACTTTAAGTAAGAATTTTGAATTACTTAATTAGTTTACTTAGCTTGTTCTTATTGCATTTCATAGGAATTGTAATCCTGACTTTGTCAGCTTACTACGTCACCCTATGAAAGTAAAACTTTTTTAAACTCGAGATTTCTCTGTTAAGAATTAAAACTAACTAGCGGTTTTAATATCAGTCATTCACTTTCAGTTTTAATCACAACTTTTCATTCTTATCTTAGTGGAATAATCAAAAAGCTAATTATGAAGTTTTTTTCTTTTTCGTGCCTTTATTGCGAATAAAACTAAAATCTTAAAGTTACTTTCTTTCTTTCAAAGTTTTTATTTATTTTTTTCCCCATTTTTTTTATTTTGCAGAATAAGCAACCATTAAAACTGAAAATTTCTT